ACCATCAGGTGGACTGTGAGTTTGTTTGTCAATTCAGTATTATAAAAAAAACTGCACCGTGCAATGAGTGAAAATTAACGTATAATATCATGTTCCTGAATTTTTTTTAAATATAGCGTTAGAGATTTTCTTTCCATATCGGATAAATGAAAATATCTACTTACCATCAGGTACATTGAGAGTTCGCTTGTGTATGACAAAATCTAATATATAAAAATTAATATTTGTTTGTTTGTATTTTATGCGCTGCCATGCCGTTTGTCAGATTACGGTAAAACTTTTTCAACTTGCACGAAGGTTATAGGCATAGTACAATTAATTTACAGCAGGTGGCGCGCGTATCGTATCGAAAAAAATATTAAAAAGTTATATATCATTTAACTTCAATCAATGTATTATCATTTCCAATCAAACAATATAACTGTTCAAAATTTATAACGATATTTTCTCAATTATTTCTTCCGCGGCTGCAACGCTCCGAGTACCAGCTAGTTCTATATAAAAATCCCCTTTCAACTCGTGTGACGACGAAGGAATTAATTATAAGGAAACCTGCATGTATCAGGAATCCAAATATCTCATACGTGAAGTCTGCCTATTCGCACTTTTTTTTCGCTAAATTCTTACCCCTGTCAGAAATAAGATTAAGCCAGCAGTGGAAGTTGTGTTTTTTTTTTTAATAAAAGCGCTTGTGTCACACTGAAAATCGGTGCCAAATTTTTTATGCTTCAACCTATTAAGAAAACAGCAAAATAATTGATAAATCAAAATCCAATCCTTTTTTGATTTTTGCCTCTATGGAGTCGAGTAAAATTTACAGAACGTACATCACTGTTTTTAATAACTATGTTTTTGTGTATATAGTCTACATCTACATATATCAAGTCTGGCAACTTACCAATGAAAGGTAACTTTGCCAGCAGGGGTGTATTGGTACAAAATTACTATTAACACGGAAAACGTAACGTTTTTCGAGATATGCCATCTCTAGGATGAAAATACAATAACTAATTGACAGCATTGCTTTGCATATGGTAACATGAGTGTTAATTTTGGCACTTTGTTTTAACGCGGAATTGTGTCGGCGAAACAACCTCTTTGTTCAGTGCTCCGACACTTTAGTTTATTTTTATTTGAAATACTGAATCTAAACCTTTGTAGTAAATAATATTAATGGTTATCAACTGTAATAAATCGTTTTTAACGTGTTGGTCTTAATATTTATCTATAAAACTAACTTTGTAAAGTTACCGTATCTATTACTGATTTTTTTATAGGAGAGGGGACAAACGAGTATACGGCTCACCTGATGGTAAGTGACTACCGCCGCCCATGAACATCTGCAACACCAACTGCAACGCCATGAACAACTGCAACACCAACTAAAGGAGTAAGCTCTTTTCTTGAAGGTCCCTAATTCATATCGCTCCAGAAAAATCGCTGGTGGTAATCGATTCCACAAGGAAGTTGTGCGAGGAAGAAAACCTCTTCTAAATCGCGCAGTGGTGGTTCGCTAATCATCCAGATGGTATGGGTATGGATGGTGTCGCGAGTTTTGTTGCGATGTCCGATGGTGAAATTGAGCGGCTGGAATTAGTCCGAACAATTCTTCAGAGCACTCCCCGTTATAGACGCGATAAAATATGCAAAGAGATTATCATAATCAACATCTCTACGCAATGCCAGTGAGTCGAGCCGATCGGAAAGAACTCGGTCGTCGGCGATTCTAATCGCTCTGCACTGGATGCGGTCAAGGAGCTGGCACTGGGGAGCCCCTGCCCCGAGATGGGAACAGTATTCCATGTGAGGCTGAACCTGCACATTGTAAAGTTGCTATATATATATATATATATATATATATATATATATATATATATATATATATATATATATATATATCCTCGACGTCGACATATCGAGTGACGTGCAGTTTCGTGGTCACTTGGAAGAGAAGGCCAAATCGGCCTCTAAAAAGCTTGGCTTGCCCAGCAGAGCTTGACAGTATATATATACTCTGCTGGGCACGCCAAGCTTATACTGGCTGCAGCAACAAGGGAAGTGCCTTCAAACTGAGAAGATACGACAATGGGGTTCTTTTTAGCGGTAAACGCGCAAACTTGTGTCTTCTGAGGGTTAAACTGGACTAGATTTAGTCGCCTCTAATCAGAGACTTTGCTTAGCAAAGACAGGGGGGATTGGGGCTCCGGCCACCTGCACTCACCGCACGAAATGCAGAAGCAAAGCTTCCACTGCACGCCGGTATTGTGTGTGGTCGTGGTACCAACCCGGCTCGAGTCTGCCCATACATGCAACAGCAAAAGCGGCTGCGTGGCTCTACCACGATGTGACGATTACTTTGTCATGTTTTGCTACAACCAAGGGTTGTCACTCCACCTATAGTTTTAACCTTTTACAACTATTTAAACAAACTGTTATGTACTTAATGTATGTATGTTTGTATCGATGTTTCACCGTAGCAGCCCATTAGACCGATTTTAGCAAATTAATTTTCAATCAATTCATCTTTATCAAAAGTGAAGGGAAAGAAAAGAGAATTCCATATTATTTTTACTGCGTTGTTAGGCATTAATAAAAATAAATCAGTATTTTTCATAATTTCAACCTAGTGTATTGATATTGAACAAAACATTAATTGTCATTTTTAATGATTATTATTATTAATGTGGGAAAACAATAATTAGATTGATTCCAATAATTATGACCTGACTTCATTTTATTATGACTCGTAATAAAATGACGATGATGTCTAATAAAACGACGAATACTAGTTAAAAATTATTGTGACAAGCTTTTTTATCTATACTATAATTGATTTAAGATTTATTATTGATTTTTAATTTTAAAAGAGAGTATTTTTTTTATATGTGGCCATAGGAAGAAAAAGGGGTGATCTCCCGTCGGGCAAGGTGTTCTGACCGGGGGGCGGCCAACGCTCCGAGTGTTAGTTCAGAGCTATTCTATATATTATACTGCTTCGGAACTTTGATATTGCAATTTAGGCTTTGTTTCGCTTGTGGCGCGACGACATCACCACCACATTACTCCCCTGCTCAGAGCGGAGGTTGATAGTGCAGTCCGATTCCCTGTGTGCATAATGGCAAGTGACGCCGGTGCAACCGGTATACCGGTTTGTAATGCAAACCGTAGGACGCACTTGCAAGTAATGCCGGTGAGAACGATGTACCAGAGCAAGTGCAAGAAGTCTGCCTTGTAAATCTGCGGTGAGTCGAGATGAAGACAAGTTGGACTAGCTTGCAGGAGCTGAAGACTGCAGAAGACGATTCTTGGGAGTGAATGGTAGGGGTTCTTGAGGATAATGACGAAGGCTTGAAGTTGTAGTTTCCAAAGGTTGTTGGTTGCGTGTTCATATCACGTCGGTTGGTCACCACTGTGGCGGATAGAAGGAAAAGGGGAGATCTCCCGCCGGGAAAGGTGTTCTACCCGGGCAGTGGCCAACGTTCCGAGTGTTAATTCGGAGCTATTGTATATATACTGCTTTACTTCGGAACTTTATAGTTATTTAGGCTTTGTTCGTTTGCGGCGCGACGACAGCACCGCCACAGATAATATAATCTAATATTTAAGATTTATGCTTAAGAAATTATTGTGACAAGATTTAAATAAAAAAATTAAATTAAGTACGTAATCAAGGATTTTTGACAACCCTGACACATATTTTCAAGTTTGTATGAAATATTGATAAATGTGAGGGCAACTTTGCCACAAGAGTAAATTTTGTTATTTACAACACGAGCAAGTCATAACTCTAAGTGTTGTGTATTATATTATGAGGTAAACTTACCTTCAACCTTTAAGTCAAATCCAATTATTTTTTTATAAACTCTGATGGTAAAGTTGCCACAAAGTGAGGTTAACTTTGCCATTTTCTATTTCTGAGTATTTGGTCTATTTAATGTTAGTACATGTTTAAACCACTCATAAATACCAAATCTCTGAAGAATATAATGTCACATTTAACATTGACGCGCACTCTGACAGTAGATATATTTTGTTGGAAAATTGGTCCTAAACTTTTAAGTCCTTCCAAAAATGGCAAAGATGCCAGGTTTCACGATACATACATTAAATTTTCTTAAATATACTGAGGTCAAAGTTAATAATATTTTTTGTTTAAAATTTTCTCTAAAATTCTTCTCTCTTCTGACTTAGGTTATAAATTGCTCTTATTGTACAAAACTTCAGTTTCAATCCAAGAAAAACAAACAGTGGACTCAACAAGAGTCAGCTCCTCCCCATTGAAAAGCACTGGTATTTACCTGTTTAACATTTGATATGTAGTAAGCGGACACTCGCGATACGAAACACAGTAGCATTAAGCAGCTGCTATTTCACGCAGAGATTCTGTGAGAGCGTGATCCTTCCTCGGTCCAGCCGACCCATTTGTGCTAATACCATAACTTATTTGTTGCGTGGCTCTATCACGTAGAAATATACCATGTATAATCGAATGTAATTCTTTTTTTACCTCAACGCCATTTTACAATAAAATATAAGGTAAGGTAACACCTTTTTTTTTGTAAAATCGCAGATGTAAAGTATCGCAAATGATGGCGACTTGGTAAGAGATGCAAGTAGTCGATAGATGCAGGTGGCTCAGGGTCGTGCATTGTAACTAAATTTCTTGATGTTACGTTCAACAGTAGACATGTAGGCTGTAGTGATAATGATGATGATGAAGTACAGATTTGCAGTTTTTTGCTTAAGTTATTCGCGGAAGAAGTTGTGAGTAAAAAAAGCTAGTTTGTAATCAATTCCCTCGCTTTCTTAGTTACTCGCAATAGGAGGCTGCATATGGAAAGACTATATGAAGGTGCGTCCCGAAGATTAAGGTGAAATACCTCTCACAAAATGTGCTAAGATTTAATAACAAAAATGCTTAGAATTTAGAACCTGCTCATGTATTTTTCTTTAAATAATACGGGCTATTATTTCCAGAGGATTGAAATTAAACCGTCACGATGTTCGAGGGCGCGGTCGCCGGTATCCTGAACCGGCTACTTGGCAAATACGTTCAGGACCTTGACACAGAAAACCTGAACGTCGGCATTTTCTCCGGCAATGTTAATTTAACGGATCTCAAGCTTAAGCCGGAAGCTCTGGTAAGGAGTAAATCTAGAATTTATTAATTTTAAACAAATAAGGGTGGTTAATTATCCCGGTGAAAGGGCGTCTGGTTGACGCTGAGGACAATTATTTGTTCTGGATCTGGATATTTCCATTTGTAATATACCTTTCTATGTCTAATATATATGTATGTAAATAATTATATATTATATTAAAAGTTAAAATTAAAAGTAAAATTATTGCCCATATACGTCCCACTTCTAGGCATAGGCCTCATCACATTTCTAAGAGGGGTTTAGTGTAAGGAAACGTCCGCCGCCCAGTTCTAGTGCGTGTTGGCGGACTTTATATGTCTCCCTTCGGGACCTCACTAAGTTTTCCTTCACCGCCTATTATATTTTATTATTTTAAATTGTAAATGATCACGTATACAATATTCTTATATGAGTTATATCATTTTATACTTTTGCAGTATGAATTGGATCTCCCAATCGATGTCAAAATTGGCACTATAGGCCGTGTCAGTCTTCAGATACCGTGGTCCGGGCTGTACACCAATCCAGTTGTCGTCAACATCGATGATGTGTTACTGTTGGTTGGTCCAGCTATCTCGAACAGTTACTTCGATCCTGAAAGAGAGAGAAGACTGACCAGAGCTGCCAAGAGAAAGATTCTACAGGATTTAGAAGCAGAAAGTGAAATTCTAAAGGGTCCTCAGAACTTTTTCGAGAGTCTTTTCACAGCGATTGTAAATAACATTCAGATTTATGTAAGGAATATTCATGTAAGATATGAAGACTCTATCAGCTCAAAGGATGGTCCGCTAGCATGCGGACTGTGTTTGCAAAGTCTATCCATAGAGACTACAAACAGGTGAATCGTTTGAATATTATTGATTGATTTTCAAAAATACTAACTTTGACAGAAATAAAAAATCACTATCCGAGAATCTGAGAACAAGTAAAATTTATTGTGGCTAGGATTCGAATTCGGGATCCAACTTTAGTGAGACAATAGATTTGCGAGCTAAGTTAAAGAGTAAAATTACAGATGTAAATAAAATGTACAAGTTATTTAATTTATGTTGGGAACTGAAGCGGGTACCGGAAGACTGGTCAAAAACCGTTATAGTCCCATTATATAAGGGAAAAGGATCACAGCAGGACTATAAAAACTACCGTGGAATCAGTCAGCCTAGCATTGTGGGAAAACTGTATGCTAAGGTGCTAATTGAAAGATTTTTTTTATTTAAAGTTATGAAAGAAACTGCGAACTGCGAAAAAAACTTTCTTATTGCGGAGAATTTATGGCTAAAAATCAAAAAGATTTTTGTGCGTTCATGGATTTGAAAAAGGCTTATAACAGAGTGGACAGGGATGTGTTATGGCAAACAATGAACTCATTTGGGTTGAGGGCTGGGTTGATACAGGCATTAAAGTCTCTTTATAAGGACTCTGCTAAGTGCTTGTGTCAGTATCAACAGCATCTACTCGGACTGGTTTGGCATCCATAAAGGTGTCAGACAGGGCTGTGTGGCTTCCCGTGACTGTTCAACCTATTTATGGACAGTTGTTTAGATAACAAGTCATATTTGTGTCGTTGGCGGCTGAGTTGCCAACAATGGTTACATTAATGAACAGGTTACATTAACAGAAATGGGTGTGAAAGTTTTAGAGAAGAAGTCATATTTATATCGTTGGTGGCTGAGTTGCTAATAATGATTACATTAATGAATAGGTCATTAAAAGAAAGGGGAAAGTGAACGCAAGTAAGACGAAAGTGATGGTTTTTGAAGAAGAAGAAAGTAAAACGATATGTGAAATACGAATAGAAGGGGAGTTGTTTGAGCAAGTGGATGAGCTTGTGTATTTGGGATGTGTATTTAGCGGGGATGTTAGATATGTTAAGGATATAGAACGACGAGAGAACCCAGGAAATAGAGTAAATAGGGCTCTACACTAAACAAACTAGCACGTATGGCAATTCACAATGCTGTGTTAGTCGAAGAAGCACGAGAGTAGAATAAAAGCCGTAGAAATGCGATCATTAAGGAATAGCTTGTGCTGAATCTAAATGACAGAGTGAGAAATTGTGTGATAAAAGAAAAGTGTGGTTTGCAAAATGATGGTGCAACCAGGATTAGGGTAAGAGTTTTCAGTGGTTTGATCATGTACAAAGAATGAATGAGGAAAGAGTGATAAAGCAAATCTATATTTCAGAAGTGAACGGTAGAATCGGAAAGAGACGCTCTAGATTAAAGTTTATCGACCAAATTAGTGATATATTGAAGATGGGCCAGATTAAGAGTATCCCTAATCGACTAGCATGTATGCGTAAATATATGGATATAAAAGAGGCGAGAGAGGTGTGTCAGGAAGGTGTGCCAAATGGAAGTCCGAAGACTCAGCCTACCCTTATAAATTACGGGCGTATCTATGTATGTGTTTTATGTATTTTATTTACAATTAATATTTTTATCACACTAGCAAATGGAAACCATCTGTGACCCCAGTTAATGCGTCCACCGTGTATCAAATGATGCGCATCGAGTCTCTCTCCCTGTACTGGAACCCTACAGCCACAGCTCTGGATGACAATGAAACGGCACACATCACCCCAATGCAATATTATAATTGGAAGCACTATATGTTAACAGGGTTAAACAAGTTTTCTATGCATCATGAAGACTTTGAGTTTTGTAAGTACTTTGCCATTTGGTCTTAAAAATTGTTTCTTATTTGAATTGAAACCTATTTTTTAATAATAAAATATTTTTAAAAATTTACCTGATAATGAGTGGATATAGACATCTACATTTATAAACATGCAGATGCATTATAAGTCCTAAAGGAATATATGTTTACCAGTAAAAAGAGTCTACGGTTCTATTTACTCGCTATTCCAAAAACATAGTTGCATTACATTGCTATTTTACGTTGGTATCTCGGGTGATTCCTTAAAACAATTATTTCATTTTAACACTTTCACTATCCGGTCTCCAGACACAATAGTAAGACAATAGCAGTGCCCTATATATAGTGCACGGGACAGCGAAAGGGTTAATGTCACTCTACTTGAATTTATTGTTTCAGTTTTATTTGTAAAGTACCGTAGAGTGCACTGCTAGGGAGAGAACTTCATATACTTCTAAGTAGATTTTAAGGTATTCTTGTCTTTAATACATTTTATTCAACTGCATCGTTGTTCTAGTGGTAATAGTAGTGCGAGTGCTGATCATGAGGTCCCGAGCTTGAATCCCGGGTCGGCCCAAAAAATCAGTTATTGAGCTATTACATTAAGAAATTCTCATTACCTACCCGGAGTCAGGAAGTTGGCGGTGTCTCACCCACGTACCTCGGAAAGCACGCAAAGCCGTTGGTCCTGTGTCTGATCTCTTTCCGGTAGTGTCAGTTTACTGTCCCATCGGACTATCAGAGCGTGGGAATAATAAGAAGTGCACTTTTTATTCCCACATTCTCATAGAGGTTGCGCATACACTTGGACACTATAATCCTGTCCTGCGCCGATGGCTAGTCTCAGTTGAGGCTGGCTGCTGTCACCGAAATTCTTCAAAAGGTCTGGAGGACATTATTATTATTGGGATATTTATAAAGTATTCTTATCTGGTTGGGCTGAATAAATATATAAGAGGAAATGATAAACATTATTATTATTTTGTGGGGTATCTACATAGTTTTCTCATCTGGTTGGGCTGTATAAATATATAATTGTAAATGAAAATGATAAACTTACATAAATATCAATAAAATAAAATAAATACATAAATAAATAAAAACCCAACCAGATGGAAGCCCTCGGCAGGGGAGACCAAACGGCCGAGGGTTAGGGGGAAAGGGAAAATGACGGGAGGATGCGGGCAGTATCGAGGAGCACCGCCTACTGCATTTAAGCCCGGAGTGGTCCGTCACGGGGTCCCAATCACCTCAAATGACCGGAAATGCTTACCGTGATTAACCTCGGAATAACTTCGGTCGCCAGACCACCCCACATGTCCAGATGACACGAGCCAGGTCCAGATATTTTGTTTTCTTATCTGCTTCCTCTTTCACGAGGTTCTCGTCATAAGGAATGGTAATGTCGACCAAAAATATCCTTGATTGTGCCCGGTCCATTAGCACAATATCAGGATTATTCGCAAGAATAGTCCAGTCTGTGATGATGGCCCGGTCTCAGTAGAGCCTGGCGCGGTCATTTTCGAACATGGCTTCCGGCAAGTTATAAGTACTTATAAGGTACTTTCCGATCCACGAGACTGTATTTCAGAGCGAGTTCCTGGTGCAGACTCCTGGCTACTACGTTGTGTGTGTGCAAATACTCAGAGTTAGAAAGAGCAGAACAACTGGAGATGACATGTCTAAGTGACTCACTTGGATGGCGACAAGCTGGACAGATATCGACGGAGTCGTCCTTTAGAATGTATCTCCGATGTTATTAATAACCTGATCCTGTGTTGCACAGGCAAAACCAATTATTTTTATTATTACATTTTATTCAATACTCTTTTCTAAATGCAAACCGTTTGTTGCAGTACTTAAACCGGTAACTTGCAAGGTTAAGGTGCTTATCAATAGATCTGGTGAAGCTAGGGTACCAAGACTTCTTTTGGATGCGGTATTACAAGATAGTGCGTTGCAACTGTCTCGAAGACAGTATCTATCTATTGATAACTTGCTATCTTCTTTCCGTCGCATAAAGTTAAATAGGTATGTATGTAGTATTCATAATTGAAACATAAATAAAACAGAATTTGCAGTTGTGGTATTGTGCGAGAATCTACTGGCCCATGTGTGAGTGTCGTAAGAGGCTGCAGAAGGAAGTTGAAACAGGAGATGGCAAGCAGCATCTTCTTGATAACAGCTCAAAATAATAAAAACTGTGGTTGCCATCAAGCGTGGCAAATGTGGAAAGTATCAGCATATAGGGCCTCTTTTATAGGATAGGGTGACAAACATTCTTACAGTCCATCTGATAGTAAGTGATTACTGTGACCCACAGACATCCACATTTATCCTCGATTATAAATCAAAATGCAGATGCGTTGTCACCCGTGAGGACTAAGATGGAATGCCTCGTTTCCAGTAAAAAGAGTCTCAGGTTCTTTACATTCACCATACGAAACATAGCAGCGTTAAGCTGCCATTTTACGCCGGTATTCTGTGAGAGCGTGGTCCTTCCTCGGTCGAGCAGACCCATTCGTGCTACAACTATACCAGTAGGTAATATAGCTGCAGCGTGGCTCTAACACGTGAAAAATATAATAAATTGGCTTATAAGCACAGATTAAATAATGTGACTACGTAACTATAAGACCTATCTTTACTGTTTAGCAATGGATTTTTGATGAGCTGACATGAATGAAAATAAAAAAAAAACATAATTAATCTTAATGATCTGCACAATTTCATTCTCTCCCATGCACTATTCGGCCGGTGGCATGTAGATGATTAAAGCTGAATTAAGCGGCGGTTTTTGGCAGAAGCTTGTCTAGTAATAATAGTAAATAGACTGTTTTAAGAGTTGTTATGGAGTGTAGCAAAAGGAATATATTTAAAAAATGAAACACTTCTCCTTGAATGTAAAATTAACAAATATTTAATCTATACAGAAAATACCGTCATCTCCACCCTGGTATGCCGTTATCGAAGGACTTAAAGAAGTGGTGGCGCTATGCTTACAACGTGGTAGTGGAGCAACGCGTTAGGCCTTATACGTGGGCGGCCATAAAGAAGCACAGGGAGAACTATAACACATACAAACAGACATACAAGAGCACGTTACGAAGTCCCAATGATACAGAACTAAAGTTGGACTTACAGAAGTGCGAAGATAACCTTCCAATCATATCCGTTGTCATTGCGAGGGAGCAGGCTAAGTTCGAAGTAAAATTATTATCTAGTATTATTGTAGTTATCTTCTAATGTAGTATTATTTAGTATTTTATGCGCTGCCATAACGTTCATCAAATTGCGGTAAAACTTTGTCAACATAATGCTGGTACTTGGTTATAAGCACAGTACAATTAAATTACAGTATTTGGCGCGTGTCAAAATTATTTTTAAGTCATATCATTCAACTTTAATTAATGTATTAACATTCCTAATCTATATTTATTATATATAAAAAAATCCACCCATGTGCTGACTCATCACGATATAATATCTGGAACTATAAGGCGTAAAGACTTGAAATTTGGTAGGAATATTCCTTTCAGCTAAAAACACACAAAGGACAGTGCGGGGGCGATAAAAAAAACTTTTAATCTATAGCTCATTTAGTCTCGCTAAAACTCGAAAACGGCCGCATTGATTTTGATGAAATCTTTTGTGTGTGCTTGAGTGGATTCTTGGATGATCTAAACGTCTCACAATTGGACCCGGTAGGTGGTTGTCGAGATCCAGAAATCACCCGTGCGAAGCCGGGGCGGATCGCTAGTTAAACAATATAACTCTTCCAAATTTAAAACGATATTTGCGCGCGCCGGGTCCCAGCTAACTTTTATATAAACGTTGCAACGACTTGACCGATTGAACATATTCAGACAGTGTATGTATATGTTCTTCCGAGACGATGCTTCATTGTTAGCATCCAATGGGTGGCGTTTTAGTATTATTATTTAAGGTCCAAACACAACAAACTATTTATAGTATAATGGTGACAAACGAGCACACAGTCCACATGTTTAATAAGTGGATGCTGTGGCCCAAAGACATCTATATCTATCCTCGATTAAGAATCAAAATGCAGATGCGTTGTTTCCTCTGAGGACTAACATGGAATGTCTGATTTCCAGTAACAAGGTTCTCCGGTTCTCTACACTCACAATATGAAACACAGCAGCATTGAGCATTATGTGAGACTGCAGTATTCTGTAAGAGCTTGGTTCTTCCCCGGTCGAGCCGTACCATTCGTGCTACAACCATAATATAGCTGCAGCGTGGTTCTACCATGTATATTTAAGGACCAAAATGACCCATATTCACAATATAACACATATTGTTTGTTTGATGCCAAAAAGAATCGCAAAATCTGAGTCCGATTAGTGACATCAAGTCAAGTTATTACTAAACTAGCTAATACCCGCTCACTTTGCTGAGCGCACGATAATATTTTATTGCGGAACATAGGTAAATCTAGAATATCAAGATTTTTTTACCTGTTTGTCGTAAAATCCCTTCTTAGTGAGCGTTTACATTGCGAAATGAGTACGACCATCCAACTATAGGCCTATCGCGATCACCTCCTTGTTCTCCAAAATAATGGAATCCATTATTAACTGCCAGCTCATCCGGTACCTTGAGGGTCACCAGCTGATTAGTGACCGCCAATACGGTTTTCGTCGGGGTCGATCAGCTGGTGATCTTCTGGTCTACCTGACCCATAGATGGGCGGAGGCAGTAGAGTCCAAGGGGGAGGCGTTGGCCGTTAGTCTGGACATTGCGAAGGCCTTCGATCGGGTTTGGCACAAAGCGCTTCTTTCGAAGCTCCCTTCCTATGGGCTTCCCGAGAAATTGTGCAATTGGATTACCAGCTTCCTTGCAGATCGGAGCATCAAGGTCGTTGTAGACGGTGCATGCTCTGACTACAAGCCTATTAACGCTGGTGTTCCACAAGGTTGTGTGCTATCACCAACGCTGTTTCTTCTGCATATCAATGATATGTTGCTAACTGGTAACATTCATTGCTATGCGGATGACAGCACTGGTGATGCTCTATACACCGGCCGTGCCAATATTTCTCGGGAAAACGTCGCTGAGTACCGGAACAAACTTGTGTCTGAAGTCGAGTCTTTGCTGAACAAAGTCTCGGATTGGGGGCGACTAAATCTAGTCCAATTTAATCCTCAGAAGACACAAGTTTTCGTTTACCGCTAAAAAGAACCCCTTTGTCGTATCTCCTCAGTTTCAAGGCACTCCCCTTCTTGCCTCAGCCAGTATCGGTATCCTCGGAGTCGACATATCGAGTGACGTGCAGTTTCGTGGTCACTTGGAAGGGAAGGCCAAATTGGCCTCTAAAAAGCTTGGCGTGCTCAGCAGAGCGGGACAGTATTTCATGCCGGCACACCGCCTGCTACTTTACAAGGCGCAAGTTCGGCCTCACATGGAATACTGTTCCCATCTCTGGGCAGGGGCTCCCCAGTGCCAGCTCCTTCCACTTGACCGCATCCAACGCAGAGCGGCTCGAATTGTCGACGACCGAGCCCTTTCCGATCGGCTCGATTCATTGGCACTGCGAAGAGATGTTGCATCCCTTTGCATTTTCTTTCGCATCTACCATGGGGAGTGCTCTGAGGAATTGTTCGGATTAATCCCAGCCGCCAAATTTCACGAACGCACATCGCGGTAGAACTCCCGATACCATCCACACCATCTGGATGAATGGCGGTCCACCACTGTGCGATTTAGAAGATGTTTTCTTCTTCGCACGACCTCCTTGTGGAATCGATTACCATCAGCGATTTTTCCGGACCGATACGACTTAGGGACCTTCAAGAAAAGAGCATACTCCTTTTTAAAAGGCCGGCAACGCATCTGCGATTCCCCTGGTGTTGCAGTTGTTCATGGGCGGCGGTAGTCACTTACCATCAGGTGAGCCGCATGCTCGTTTGCCCCCTCTCCTATAAAAAAAAAAAAAACGAAATTTCAAGTCAATCGGGTGTATAGTTTTAGAGACATCGTGAAGAGTCAGTCAGTCAGACAGTGGTATTTCGCTGACGATTTCTTGCGTCTTTTTACGATAGATATCTATTACATCTTCTATTTCCGGCAAAATTTCTAACAGTGGTAGAGTCAAGCGGTAGCTTTTGCTGTCGCACGGATGGGCCAGCTCGAACCGAAGGGTGGTACCACGACCTCACAGAATACCAGCGTGAAGTAGAGGTTTACCTCTGCGTTGCGTTTGGTGAGTGCAGGTGGCCGGAGGCCCAATTCCCCCCCCCCTCAACATGGTAGTGGAATTAAATAAAAGACTACCCCAGGAGGGTACCAGCAACCCTGGAGAATCCCTCGCTGAGCATCCACGACCAAACTACTTCACTCCTGAGCGTGGGTGCTCAGGCTGCCCCGCGTATTCTGGGGGGGGGGGGCGGCAAAATTCCTATATATATAGATACGACTAATGAGTCGCGAGCGGAAGTGCTGCTCGGGGCAAGCGGAGCAATACAACCAAGGCGACCCCTGTCACGCTATCCGTGAATTTTTGCAACATCAGGGGACTTCATTCCAACCTTAACGCTGTCCATTACCATCTATAGACGGCGAAGCCGGCCTTGCTCTTTTTAACCGAGACTCAGGTGTCCTCTCCGGCTGATACTTCATATCCCTCCTACCCGGGATACAAATTGGAACACTCCTTTGTGCCCCGGGCTGGAGTTTGTGTATACGTCAGAGAGGACATCTGTTTTCGACGCCTTGGCAGCCTTGAAGGTACGGACCTGTCCATCCTATGGCTGCGCGTAAACAGCGACGACCATCCCCGCGTCTACGGGTGCCTCTATAGGTCCCATAGCGGTAATGCCGACACAGACCGGCTCATCGACCACGTCCAAATGGCTGCAGACTCGGTGCTACAACAGGTCCCATCCGCAGAGATCGTGATACTCGGTGATTTCAACGCCCACCACGCTGAATGGCTTGGTTCTCGTTCAACCGATCATGCGGGTAGATCTGTCTACGACTTTGCTTTGGCATATGGTCTAACACAACTGGTTACTTCGCCTACGCGGATCCCAGATGTGGAAGACCATGTACCTTCCCTGTTGGACCTTCTGCTGACCTCTCATCCGGACGGATATCAGGTCTCCGTCGATGCCCCTCTGGGCTCTTCGGACCATTGTCTGATCCGGAGCACGGTGCCACTCACGCTCCAATCGCAGTCGCGATCTGCAGCTTGCCGCCGTGTTTGGCACTATAGGTCAGCTGATTGGGACGGGATGCGGTCTTTTTTTGCATCCTACCCTTGGGCGGGTTTGCTTCTCGCCGGAAGATCTCAGCGTTGTTGCTGATTCTGTTGCTGATGTGGTACTTCAGGGTATGGAACTTTTTATTCCATCCTCTGTGGTGCCCATCGGAGGCAGATCCCAGCCATGGTTTGGTCGCTCCTGTAAAATAGCATCACGCTATAAGCAGGAGTGCTACCGGGCCTGGGCTGACGCATCAACGTCTCGGGATTTAAACACCAGCGCACTTAAAAAGAAGTATAATTCCGCCTCCAGGTCCTTCAAAAGCGTCATTGCCAAGGCAAGGTCTGAGCACATCGGCAGAATTGGCGAGAAGCTAGTTCGCCTTCCTTCGGGAACCCGTGCATTCTGGTCTCTCACCAAGGCTGTCCAAGGGAACTTCTGTCAGCCATCCCTTCCATCTCTGCACAGAGAGGACGACTCACTGGCCCATGCCGCAAAAGAGAAAGCCGATCTGTTGTGCTCTCTTTTTGCGTCTAACTCGACTCTAGATGACGGGGGGAACACACCGCCGACCATCCCGCGATGTGAGTGCTGCATGTCGGATGTGCGATTTACACAGCGCTCGGTTCGCAAAGCACTCTTCTCCCTGGACGTCAGCAAGTCGAGTGGGCCCGATGGAGTCCCTCCCATTGTGCTGAAGACGTGTGCTCCGGAGTTGGCACCGGTTTTGACGCGTCTTTTCCGGTACTCCTACTCCCAAGGCGTAGTCCCGAATTCATGGAAGACAGCTTTGGTCCACCCGATCCCTAAAAAAGGCGACCGCTCAGACCCGTCCAACTACAAGCCTATCGCCATCACCTCCTTCTTCTCCAAAATAATGGAGTCCATTATAAACTGCCAGCTCATGAGGTACCTTGAGGATCACCAGCTGATACGGTTTTCGTCGGGGTCGATCAGCTGGTGATCTTCTGGTCTACCTGACCCATAGATGGGCGGAGGCAGTAGAGTCCAAGGGGGAGGCATTGGCCGTTAGTTTGGACATAGCGAAAGCCTTCGATCGGGTCTGGCACAAGGCGCTTCTTTCGAAGCTTCCTTCCTATGGGCTTCCCGAGAAATTGTGCAAATGGATCACCAGTTTCCTTGCTGATCGGAGCATCAAGGTCGTAGTAGACGGTGCATGCTCTGATTTCAAGCCTATCAACGCTGGTGTTCCACAAGGCTGCGTGCATTCACCAACCCTGTTTCTCCTGCATATCAATGATATGTTGCTAACTGGTAGCATTCATTGCTATGCAGACGACATCACTGGGGATGCCTTATATACCGGCCGTGCCAATATTTCTCGGGAAAACGTCGCCGAGTACCGGGACAAACTTGTGTCTGAAGTCGAGTCTTTGCTTAACAAAGTCTCTGATTGGGGCGGACTAAATCTAGTCCAGTTCAATCCCCAGAAGACACAAGTTTGCGCGTTTACCGCTAAAAAGAACCCCTTTGTCGTATCTCCTCAGTTTCAAGGCACTTCCCTTGCTACCTCAGCCAGTATCGGAATCCTTGGCGTCGACATATCGAATAGCGTGCAGTTTCGTGGTCACTTGGAAGGGAAGGCCAAATTGGCCTCTAAAAAGATTGGCGTGCTCAGCAGAGCGAGACAGTATTTCATGCCGGCACATCGCTTGCAACTTTACAAAGCGCAAGTTCGGCCCCACATGGAATACTGTTCTCATCTCTGGGCCGGGGCACCCCAGTGCCAGCTCCTTCCACTTGACCGCATCCAGCGCAGAGCGATTCGAATCGTCGACGACCGAGCCCTTTCCGATCGGCTCGATACACTGGCACTGCGTAGAGATGTTGCATCTCTTTGCGTATTTTATCGCTTCTATCACGGGGAGTGCTCTGAGGAATTGTTCGGACTAATTCCAGCCGCTCAATTTCACTATCGTACATCGCGACAAAACTCGCATTACCATCCATACCATCTGGATGATTGGCGGTCCACCACTGTGCGATTTAGAAGAAGTTTTCTCCCTCGCACAACTTCTTTGTGGAATCAATTACCACCAGCGAATTTTCCGAACCGATACGACTTAGGAACCTTCAAGAAAAGAGCTTACACCTTTCTAAAAGGCCGGCAACGCATCTGCAATTCCCCTGGTGTTGCGGTTGTTCATGGGCGGCGGTAGTCACTTACCATCAGGTGAGCCGCATGCTCGTTTGCCGCCTATTCTATATAAAAAAAAAGAATTACAAATGGTTAGAGAGTGAATATTGTTAATTTATCTGTTAACAAATAATATATTAAAATAGAAATTTCATTTATATTGGACAGGACGACATTCAGTTTTGAATAATTCTTACTCATTTAGGACATCCGTTGATGATAATAAGCATGTGGCACTCTGTATATTCCGTATATTATGTTTTGTAAGTTTTGCCCACTTCATGCGTCCATTCATGACGGAAATGATGTGGCACTCTGTATATTCCGTATATAGTTTGTATGTTTTGCTCACTTCATGCGTTGATCTTGAAACCGTTCCTATCCCGTATGAAATCATAACAGTTTTCGTAGTACAAGTGTTATACTTGATGAGCTGTCGGGAGTGAGATTCTTTGCGAAGAAATCTTTGTTAGTTTTTTTTTATAGAAGAGTGGGCAAACGAACATGCGGCTCCCCTGATGGTAAGTTTTGAATGCTGCCCGCGAACATCTGCAACACTAAGAAAATCCGGACTTTTCATAGAGTAGAAGAATAAAAGAATAAACTTTTTTCTAGAAGGTCCCGAAGTCGTATCGGTCCGGAAAAATCACTGGTGATAGTCGATTCCACAAGGAAGTTGTACAATGAAAAAAAATTCTTCTTGTAAATCAAATCACAGTGGTGGACCGCCAATCATCCAGATGGTGTTGATGATATCACGAGTTTGGTCTGAATAGAGTCGTGAATAGAGCAGCTAGACTAAGTCCGAACAATTCCTCATAACCATCTCCATGGTAGATACGAAAAAATAGGCAAAGAGATGCAACATCTGTTCGTAGAGTCAAGGCGATCGGAAAGAGCTCAGTCACCGACAATTCGAATCACTCTGCGCTGGATACGATTAAATGGAAGGAGCTGGTACTGGGGAGCCACGGCCCAGAGATGGGAACAGTATTCCATGTGAGGCCGAACCTGCGCCTTGTAAAGTTGCAGGCAGTGTGCCGGCATGAAATGCTGTCCCGTTCCGCTGAGCACATCAAGCTTTTTGAAGAGAAGAAGAAAAGACGAGAGGCCATATTGGCCTTCTCTTCCCTGCACGTCGTTCGATAGATATGTCGATGCCGAGGATTCTGATACTGGCTGAGGCAACAAGGGGAGTACCCTGAAACTAAGGAGATACGACAAAGGGGTTCTTTTTAGCGGTAAACGCGCAAACTTGTGTCTTCTGGGGATTGAAATAGACCAAATTTAGTCGCCCCCAATCCAAGACTTTGTTCAACAAAGTCTCCACTTCAAACACAAATTTGTTCCGGCACGGCCAGTGTATAAAGCATCACCAGTGCTGTCGTCCGCGTAGCAATGAATGTTACCGGTTTGCAACATATCATTGATATGCAGGAGCTGCAACGGAGTCTGCAGCATACTGCGTTGGTGATAGCAATTTTAAAGGCCGGCAACGCATTTGCAATTCCCCTGGTTCCCCTGGTGTTGCGGTTGTTCATGGGCGGCGGTAGTCACTTTCCATCAGGTGAGCCGCATGCTCGTTTGCCCCCTCTCCTATAAAAAAGCCTTGTGGAGCACACGTCTTTAGCACAATAGAAGCGACTCTATCAGGCCCACTCGACTTGTTAAGGTCCAGGGAGAGGAGTGCTTTGGGCACCAAGCGCAGTGTAAACAGCAAATCCTGCAAGGAGCACTCACACCACGGGATGGTCGGCGTCATATCCCCCCCCTCTTCGTCATAGAGAGTCAAGTTGGATGAAAAGAGAGAGCTTAACACATTAGCTTTCCCCTTTGCGGCATGAGCCAGTGATTCGTCCTCCCTGTATAGACATGGTAGAGATAGCTGACAGAAGTTTCCTTGGACAGTCTTAGCGAGAGACCAGAATGCACGTGTTCCTGGAGGAAGTTGAACTAGTTACTCACTAATTCTGCCGATGCGCTCTGACTTTGCCTTGCCAATGACACTTTTGAAGGACCTGGAGGCTTGTGTTTGAATCCCGATACGTTGATGCATCAGACCAGGCCCAGTAGTACTCCTGCATAAGCAGCAAAATTGGTAAAAATCCTGTAAAATTATGTGTGTGGAGTGACCAACCCATGGCCGAGTTCTGCCTCCGATAAGCACCAAAGATGATGGAATAAAAAGTTCCATTCCCTGAAGTACCACATCAACGACAGAATCAGCAACTACGTTGGGATCATCTGGCGAAAAGCAAACCCGCCCTCAAGGGTAGGATGCAAAAAAAGACCGCATCCTGTCCTAATCGGCCAACCTATAGCGTAGGTAGCGAGAGTGGCACCGTACTCCGGCCGGATGAGACAATGGTCCGAAAAGCCAAGACGAACAACTATATGCGTCCGGATAAAGGTCAACAGAAGGTGCAACAGTAAAGGTGTATGGTCCTCCACATCATAGTTTACCACCAGCAATTTTTCCGGACCGTTATGACTTAGAGACCTTCAAGAAAAGAGCCTACTCCTTTTTAAAAGGCGGTGTTGCGGTTGTTCATGGGCGGCGGTAGTCACATACCATCAGGTGAGCCGCATGCTCGTTTGCCCCCTCTGGGATCCGCGTAAGCGAAGTAGCCAGTTGAGCCAGACCATATGCAAAGGCAAAGTCATAAACAGATCTACCCGCATGATCAGTTAAACAGGAACCAAGCCATCCAGCGTGGTGGGCGTTAAAATCACCGAGGATAACGATCTCTCCAGAAGGGACCTGTTGTAGCACGGAGTCTGCAGCATTTGGACGTGGTCGATGAGTCGGTCTGTGTCGACATTACTTATATGGAACCTGTAGAGGCACCCGTAGACGCGGTGGTGTTTGTCGCTGTCTATGCGCAGCTACAGGGTGGACAAGACCTTCAAGACTGCCGAGGCGTTGAAAATAGATATGCTCTCTCACGTATACTCTCTAACTCCAGCCCGGGGCACAAAGGAGTATTCTAATTTCTATCCCGGGTAAGAGGGATACGAAGTATCAGCCGGTTAGGACACCTGTGTCTCTGTAAGAAAGAGTAAGGCCAGCTCCCCCCCCCCCCCCCCCCCCCCAAGACGCAACAAGTCGGTCGGGCGCAACATCATCGGTAATTTCACCCATGTAGGACGCAAGATTACTCATGTAAAAAAACTCTTTTAACTGTAAAAAAATATGAAGTGAATACAGTATTAACGTAAAGTCTGTGAGAAGAACGTTTGTGGTTAACAGGCAGACACACTGACAGACAATGAGGTAATGCCGAATGCTGTCATAGAAACAATAAACATGTTGATAAATCTAAGTTCACAGTTTTGTTATGAAATAATTAAATTGACTTAAAAGGACTAAACAGATTAAGTTCATCGCATACTATTAACGTGGTTAACAATTATTCGCCCTTATGTTATGAAAATGCTTTTGCAAATTGAAGTGTTTGATGAATTCTTGATTGATCCCATCTTTATGTCTTGACCATTTATATGGGATCCCTTTTGAAAAATCATTGTAATCATCGGACAATGTGGTAGAGAATTATCGTTTAACATACAAAAAAAAAATGTTCAGATGAATTGAGAATCTCCTTCTTGTTTTGAAGTCGGTTGAAAACTCAAGCGCATGTTTCTTTACAGCTACTTGCTCAAGAGCCAGATCGTATTGAAGTGGTTGAAAGTGAGTTCGATTGGTGGAAGCCCACGAGTTCGGATACAGAGGCCGACTCTGACGTCGAGACTAAAACCCATGTGGAGTTGTGTGTGAAGACAGAAAGAAGCAAAAGCCTTTGGAGCCATCTCTCTAGTCCAGAGAAGAAAAGAGTTTGTGAGCTGATAGGCTATGCTGAAGGTGCTCCGAAGCAAGATAAATCAAAGCAGTATATTGGTAAGAAACTCTAATATCCAGTTATTTATTTATAACAAAAACAGTTACAGTATCATAACAGTTCAAGATCAAGACAATGCTTTTACACAAAAAAAAAAAACTAATAGATATAAGTATTTACATACATAAATGTATATTATAATTTAGTAAAAATAAAGAATTTTCACAGACCCTGTGCCATTTCTGTAAACTTTGCCAGGCTGCAGTTAAATATGCCAGTTTCATCAGAAATAATATACAATAACTTCAAATCACGTGACATAGGTTTTTTTTAAAGAAAACAGCTGCTACGCCTCTAATAACATAGGCCATGGATTCACATCTCCCATAGATTGCCTCATAGGCGGGATATTTGCCATAGTTGCCACACTTGGCAAGCAGGTTGGCAGCAGAGAGCAGTTTTTTATAATTTTGAGTTGATATCAGGTAAATGCTGCCCCTCTTCTGTTTTAGTTTCCCTCCTTCGCCCTTTACGACACTCACGGGGCGATATGGGGCAGTGGATATTCTTACACCGACTTTTATAATGCTTTCATATTACTATAACTCTATGTGTGACCCTCAGAACACAAGATAAACTTGACGCTGGCTAATTGTTCGTTAACATTGATGAATAGAAGCAAAGAAGTGTTGGTAGTTACACTAACACAGTTCCTCGCTTCATTGGAAACTAGACCCTCAGCGAAAGCTTACAAGGTAAGTAAATTTAATTTACCTTTTACTTTATTATCATAAGTAATGATTTCTTGCGTGCGTACAGATTAAGTAACATGTTGTGTAGCTTGTGTTTTATACACGTTTAAGTACACGTCCACATTATGTTACATTGTTTTTGAACATTGTAACACATAACAATACTGTACACATTAGAATAACAATACAATATAACAATGTTATATGACATTGTCGTTTGTCGTTCTGCAGTGTTATTCACAATGTAAAAGCATGTAATAATAAAAATGTCATAAATACAAATTCTTTTACCTCTGGAATACCTTCTTTTGTAGAGCGAACCTTATTTTTATTCTTTAAAAAGTACACGTGTACGCTAAGTAAGTTATATAACATTTGTGTCACGTTAAATAACACGTTTTATAACATTCAGACCCCACATATTACTGTAACATGTTATGTTATATAATATTTACGCACCTTTATATTCTCAGGAATATTACACTACGAGTACTAAATAAAACTGATTTTACGGATTTTATCGCGTTAAAGTTGACTTATTTTTAATTTCCTCTGAGTTTTAATGACTTTAATGATCATGAGTGATGAATTAATACTAAGTCAAATTTAATTAAATTAAATGAAATTCATTAAGTGTTTTGAAATTCATATTATCGTATTACTTCCAATAAATTTTGTACGATATTAAATAAAATTTTCGTTGAATGATTAAAAAATTATCATCATCATCATAATTCCCGACCATCACTAGTCCACTGCTGAACATAGGTCTCCCCTGTCGACTGCACCAAAACTTAGACCAGGGTTAGATGTGCGTACTGCTTACATCTAAGTGACCATCTGATCCGAATCCTGATCTTTTCCTGATCTTTGATTGACTAAGTATCATATGATATCGAATTTAATAACTGCAGGTATCTGCCCGAACGGAATGCATAGTGATAGAAGGAGCTACATCAGACGGTGACCTAGTGCCTCTGTTGACAACGGAACGGGGGTCAGCACTTACTGGTTCCAACCTTCTGGCAGTGGACTTCGAACGAAACCCATGCAACAGCGAGGCCGATTACGGTCTCTGTTTGTTAATGGAGCCTGTAGAAATGCTTTATATCGAAGTAAGTGATTATAAATAGCAAACTTAAAAAACACAAAGTACTGAAATGGCGGTATTAGTGGTAGAGCCATGTTGCAGCTTTTTTGGTGATGGTTGTAACACGAATGGATAGGCCCGACCGGGAAAGGCCTACGCTCTTACAGAATACCAGCGTAAAATAGCAGCTTTATGCTGCTGTGTTTCATATGGTGAGTGTAGAGAATCTGATACCCTTTTTACTGGAAACGACGTATTACATCTTCCTCAGGGGTGACAACACATCTGCACTTTGATTTTTATCGAGGAAAGGTGTAGTGTAGATGTCTATTAGCCACAGGATATACGAGGACACTTACGAGCCGGTGCACTATGTGCTCGTTTGTCACACTAATTATATAAAAAAAATAAAAAAATGAGGAATAAAGTATTAAACATAATTAGGAGAAATTACTTACAAACCAATGTTAAGAATATCGAAGCCCTACGCTTAAAAGTGCTACTTCAAGGGTTTAAAAGCAAAACTAGAGTAAATACAAATATACAGGTCCCATGGATGACCACAGGCCCTGTTTTATTAACCGACTTCAAAAAAGGAGGAGGTAGTAAATTCGACTGTATTTTTTCATAGTTGTTGTATCAGAACTTTTTTCTAGGTGCATCTATTATGATGATTCTTTTTTATTTGAAAGCTAAAGCGGTCCCATATAAATTTGATCAAGATCTTACTAGTAATTTTTTAGTTATCCTTAATAATTCGTATTTAACTGACTTCCACTACACTGATGATGTTCTCATTTTATTTATATTGTAGTCGGTTGTACAGCATTCTTAATTCTACCACTCGTTTATGAGAGAGTAATAGAGATAGAAAGAGTTCGCTCCACTGCGAAATGGTGGAATCCCGTCATCCTCGGAATATTTCTAATTTTCCCACGCATATTAACTTAAAAAAAATCTTGTGAATATAATAATATTTTAATGTAATTTCCCCCAGCACGCTTTCACAGAATTGATAAACTTCTTCCAAACTCATTCAATGACGTCGGAAGACTTAGCTGAGGAGCTGTCTCTAGTGGTCGAGCGAGCTGGCGGGGTTGGGCGGTCGGTCTTGGCCTACGCTGTTAGTAGGCGCAAGGTGTTCCAGGTTAACGTGGACTTGAAGGGCCCTTGTATCGTTGTCCCGGAACATGGCTGTGTGCACAAGTAAGTTTAAGGTTTGCTATTAGTATAATATTTGTTTATCTTCAAAAATTACGTATATTATTACTTTTGGTATAATTCCTTCAAAAATAAATTTATAATTTAGAGGACGTATTATATTATTTGCAGGACGTACAAATACTTGTTCTGTGTGGGATTCGAACCCGCCCTTAGTGTTGTAGCAATGGCTAAGCCACTGCACCACGGAGCCGTCAAAAAAAGTATTACTGGTTTTGTAATAAACTTTACTATTTACATACTTATCTTTAACGCTTTGTTCCTGATACGACCATTTAAAGCGAACTGTAATTCTTTTAACTACCTTCAAATTAACCAGCGCTAACCATCTGAGCCGTGGTAGCTCAGATGATTAGCGTTCGCTGTAAATTTCACAGTACGCGAGCAACACGGGTTCGATCCCCGCCGGCATCAATTAAATTGTTAGTTGCAATTTTAAGTGTTGATTTACCACGTGCTCGGCGGTGACGGAAAACATCGTGAGGTAACCTGCATGTTTGAGAAATAAGAAAAAAATATTTCGAAGACATGTGAAGTTCGCCAACACGCATTGGGGCAGCGCGACGGACATTTCCTTGCCCTTAATTCCTCTCAGAAATGAGCGGAGGCCTTTGCCCTGCAGTGAGACGTATATAGGCTGTAACTTTACTTTATTTTACATTCAAATTATATTTTTACATTGATGAATATAATTCTAGATCTGGTCGTGTGATAATCTTGGACTTAAGTCGGATAGTAGTGAAGTCTGATCTCCAGCCATCGAACCTGGCTCTTGAGGATGCTACGTGTATGGAGCTGGAGGAGAAGCTTTACGACCGGTTACACGCTGAATGCTCATGTCAAGTGAGAATTTATTTTAAGCAATATTATGTTGTCAGTTAAAATAAACAAAGATTTGTGTACTACTTTGCCGGCAATTCAGAAAAAAAAAAAAACAGAGGCAGCCATAAGTACTGCCCACACAAGTGAAAACTCAATGATATATGCGTAGTCTGGCAAAAGCCCGTAGTAGCTTGCTCGTGACGTGACGAGCATGTCGAGGTCGAGGCACGATAAATATGCCACGCAATTGTGTTTTTACTTACGAAAGTTCTGTCTAAAATCAAGTTTACAAAGCATCTACATAAATAATAACAGCGGTTTCTTAGACACATCACATTAAATAAATTCAGTGTTGCATTGTCGAAAACAACATTCGCGGTTTACAAAACAACGAAATGGTCCTCTCGGCCTCTCCCAAAGACTGAATAGACGGACTATTATTGTACACAGAAGTCTTTGAAAATAAAACGAATGATTTCTAGATAAATTTCAAGTTCTCGTTCTCTGTAAATTAATTAATTATGCCATAAGTTAGCCAATTAAGTGTTGTTATGAGCTAAAGATCAAATGAACATCATACAAAGTTGGTCAATTGGTCTTTAGCTAGAGATGAAAACGAGCAAATCTTCGGCAGGGTAAGGCATTCTGCCCAGAGAACGATTAACGCTCTGTTTGGTAGTACGGAGCGCGTGTGTACGAGTACGTATATATAGCAGATTTATTCGGAAACTTCTATAGCGTGATTTAAGCTGCAGTTGCTGTTTTTAATCCATGTGCATTACAAGTTGCGGCACGTAAATCTAGCGCTGAACGAAACGTGGAGGGGATGCGCATGAATTTAATTGCACAAATGCGACTGGAGAGCCAATCAGCGCGTGCGAACCATACGCACGAGCCAATCAGCGCGACTTTTGCGCAATTAGTCAATCAGCGCGATTTATGTGCAATAAGCCAAACAGCGCGGGTTATGCGCAATAACGGTCACCGCTAGACTTTCGTGCCGCTACTTATATAGCGCGTTAACAAGGTCCCCTTTTCCTTTCATGTTTCTGTGTACCTTTTGGATGTATAGTAAAAATTAGAAGTCATGCAGGTGTTATTCTCGGAATGGAATGAACCGTGGCGCGAGTCTCGTAAGCACGCCGACTCCGAGCGTCACCTCGTTCCAAAAGTCAAGGCTCAGCTCGTGTTCTCTAGCAGTATTAAAAAGGATTATAAATTATTACCAAGGTAAATTAGATAGATCAGTTTGCTTACTTAATCATGTTGTGTTTTGCTGTCGTGTGTAGACGGTTTACGGAATCTGATCATTCTATTTCGCTTCTTGAGAGTTTTAAGAATTTATTATGGATCTAAAAATCTTGAAGCCCTTGATGGATAGCAGAAGAGTCAGCAATGTAAATGGTGAGAGTTATACGGAGCGAGAAAAGTACGAAATGTCGCCGCCGATCACCATCCGCAAGATAAGGGATCTATATATAAAACATATTGTAGGAGAATTAAAGGTCATAAAGGATTTACTACTCTTTACGTGGTAGAGCCATGCTGCAGCTATATTATGGTTGTAAGTGTTGTTATGTTCGATCGGGATATAATCACACTCTAACAGAATATCAGTATGAAACAGCAGAATGTGTTTCGTATTATGAGTGTAGAGATTTCATTTTAGTCCTCAGGGGTCAACGCATCAACGCATCTGAATTTTGATTATTAATCGAGGATAGATGTAGATATATATAGGCCGCAGCATTCACTTACTATCAGGTGGCCTGTTGGTTCGCTTGTCACCTTTATTCTATTTACAAGGACTAAATAAGGTTTTTTTTTATTTATTTTATCTTTGTTGCATAAAAATCTACAAAGGCAGACTTAATGCCTTACATCGTTTTCAAACAGAGAGCACTACTTTTGAGTTGCAATATGATTTATAAAAGAGGGAATTAAAGATCAACACAATATGTATATGAAAATTAACTAAGTATCTATTTGTGGTATTTTAAAATTTCCAACATGTATTTGAATGATATTGTATTGTATTGTATTAGTTATACTTATACCGACTGGCCAAATGATTTTTTTAAAATTTTTTTTCATTATTTATTTCGACCAACAAGGATCATAGGATAGGGGCAGAGTAGTCATCGTCCTGTCGTATTTTCTTTTCCAGATACAAGCTAAATATTTCTCTTTCAAGCTTGAAACTGAATCTCTCCGATCGCATCATTGGCCACCTTCTAGATTTCTGCGACAATCTTCCCATACCCGTGCCCAACACAGTGCCCGTCTCGTTCATGGATTCTGGCGATTACATTGAAGACCTGGAGGACCCCGAGCTGATGGAGACTCTTGAATTGGACCGCGTATCAGCAGATCCTGGGTATAATGAGCTGGTGAAATTGAGGCAGAAGATCGTAGCTGCGTATTTAAGTAGAAACAGGTTAGAATGCCACATTATTATCATCAAAATAATCGTCGCATGTGGATTATAATATGAAATGGTCTCTTACTAAAACACATTTTTCTCTTTTATAATTTTTTTAACTCTTTAAATTTTTAGCTTAAAATAAATATAATATATTACATATACGATATACAATATAAATAATGCAATCATAGAAAGAAAAAAAACGACATACAATATACTTGCACGTGGTAGAGCCATGCTGCAGCTATATTAAAAGTATAGTTGTAGCACGAATGGGTCGGCTCAACAGGGGATGGACCACTCTCTCACAGAATACCAGCGTAAAGTAGCAGCTTAGTGCGTTTGTATTTCGTATGGTGAGAGTGGAGAACCGGAGACCCTTTTTACTGGAAAAGAGGCTTTCCATCTTAGTCCTCACGCCTGATAACGCATCGGCGTTTTGATTCGCAAACGAGGATAGATGTAGATATCCATTGGCCACAGCAACCACTTACCATCAGGTGCACTGTGTACTCGTTTGTCACCCAAATTCACTGAAGAGAGAACACTGACTACGTTTCCCTGCGGACTAGCTTTACTGGTACTTACTTAGGCACAGGACAAAAAAAGAACCAGCCTTCTCGTCTCTAGCGGCGACTTATCGCGGATACATTTCCTTTAGGAATTTAACTCCGAGTGAAACAATAACGATATTGTTTGTTTTTTATTTTACCAAATTTTTTTTAATTTATACGTGGCAGGGCCATGCTGCAGCTATATTATGGCTGCAAGACTAATGGGTTGGCTCGACCGGGGTAGGACCACGCTCTCACAGGATACCAGCGTAAAATAGCAGCTTAATGCTACTGTGTTTCGTATGGTGAGCGTAGCACACTTGAGACCATTTTTTTACTGAAAACGAGGCATTTCATCTTAGTTCTCAGGGGTTGCAACGCATCTGCATCTTGATTCTTGATCGGAGATAAATGTAGATGTCTATGGGCCACAGCATTCACTTATCATGAGGACTGTGTGCTCCCATGTCACCCTTATTGCCTTATTCTATAAAAAATGTTATTACCAGGGCGGCGGAAACCAAACATGATCACGTGAAAGTGTCAGCGGCTGTACCATTGGAGACAGCTATCAGCGAACTGAGTGATGACGAAGTGGAGGAGTACGCTCGCTCCGTAGACCTGCCCGGTTTTGACGACAACGTCTCCCCGAGCAACACCATCGGCACCCTGATGCGGTTTGTCATTGGTGAGTCGAATGAACTTCAAAAGATGGATTCCAAACGAATATGTCTAGTTAAATGAAATCTTATCTAGGAATATAAACGATATTTTGTGATATTGTTGATATTGTGTGATTACGTTTTGTTTATTGAATAAAGTAATTTTTATACTTTTTTAAAGTTGGTAAAAATACCTTGCGTACATCCGCTCGATAAAATAAACTGATGTGTCTTACTTAGTTTGAAGAGCACCCCTCCCGCCCTCCCTCAATTGCGTGTACTATCCCCGTCACCACTAATCCCAGCACCACTGCTCCCAACACCACTACACACCACTGAAGACAATACTGTTTTATTGTCGTGAGGTGCTCTTCAAACTAGGTAATATACATAATTTTATTGTATCGAGCGGATGTACGCAAGGTAAATTTTACCAACTTTTATATAATGGATTTCCGCAAGAAATAGCTGCCTTATATTGAGCTGAGGGGGTTATTTGCATGACTTCAAGTCACGAATAACCATTTTTAAAAATTTTGTGTTTGTCTGTCCGGCCTAATCTTCGGAATGGTTGAACCGATTGTAATGAAACTCCACAAACAGATCTTGAACAATAGCAAGGGTGATCTAGTTCATATTTTATTTGAAAAACTTTGATATTATCAAATAAATGCCACATTAATAGAAGCCAGACGAAGTCCGCACTTAATTAATATACTATATTAATATATAAAGTTATTTAATTTTTTCTTATAGGATAGGGTGACAAACAAGCACACAGTCCACCTGATGGTAAGTGGTTGCTGTGACCCATAGACATCCACATCTATCCTCAATAAAGAATCAAAATGCAGATGCGTTGTCACCCGTAAAAAATGCGTTGTTTCCAGTAAAAAGGGTCTCCGGTTCTCTACACTCACCATACGAAACAAAGCAGTATTAAGTTGCTATTTTACGCTGGTATTATGTGAGAGCGTGGTCCTTCTCCGATCGAGCCGACCCATTCGTGCTACAACTATACCATTAATTAATTGCAGCATGACTCCACCACGTAAAACTTTAATATAATATATTATTCTTGACAAGCTTAGGATGACGCTTTTGATCGTTTCTTTTTTGTTGAAATAATTTCTCATTTCGCAGCTATTATATTTTTGGATTTCCATATAATGAAGTTGTTTTAACTTAATTTGCTTAATTCCAAAGAAATAAAATGAAGTGTTCTGCACAGTTTGAAGAGCACTTCCCACCCTCCCTCAGTTGTGTGCACTATCCACGTCACCACCAATCCCAGCACCACCACCCCCAGCACCACCACTCCCAGCACTAACACTCCCAAAATCACCACACTTGGAACGACACACCACTCTCGATAATGCGACACGTATTACGCATTGAGTTATACAAGACTAGAGGAGCAAACCATATTACCGCGCGTCGAAAAAAGTGAAACCACTATCTAACCGCGTGTCTCGTGACATTAGCTACAAAAACTGTGGTTATTAATAAATTTTTAGGATAATACTAAATGGTGTTAAACTGTAGTACTAATCCGCTTAAATAAACACGGTCGCCATCGCTTTTTGGTCCTAGTTTGTCTTGATCCCGGAAGTGCTTAGAACTAATGAGAGTAGATTTCGAAGGCACCCAGTGAGCCTCCTTTCTCAGGAATCGTATTATTTCCCCCTACTTCTTACGATGTGCCGCATCTTTAAGTACCCTGCAAAATTATTAATATGAAATAGGTAATAAAATATAATTAATAGATCATTCATGAATATTTTAAAATAAGAATAATTAATTCCTTTGTTTTTTTTTTATAGGATCGGGTGACAAACGAGCACACAGTTCACCTGATGGTAAGTGGTTACTGTGACCCATAGACATCTACATCTATCCTCAAAAAAGACTCAAGATGCAGATGCGTTGTCATCCGTGAGGACTAAGATGGAATGCCTCTTTGCCAGTAAAAAGCGTCTCCGGTTCTCTACACTCACCATACGAAACACAGCAGCGTTAAGCTGCTATATTACGCTGGTTTTCTGTGAGAGCGTGGTCCTTCCCCGGTCGAGCCGACCCATTCGTGCTACAACCATAATATAGCTGCAGCATGGCTCCACCACGTAAAAAAATTTGTATAAAGGTTGAATCATCATCATCATCATCATTACAGCCCTTCACAAGTCCACTGCTGAACATAGGCCTCCCCCAAATAAAGGTTGAAACATAGTTTTTATTACAATTTCCAAAATATTTAAAATCAGGGCTAATAAGTTAACTTATTCCATAAATTATATAGTCGTAGCAGTGTAATGTGGGAAAATTGCAAAAGCAGAAAAGTGGCAACATTGAGCAAAAAGCAAAATTAAAAATTTTGAAATAACCCACGACGGATTTTTTTGGATTTATAAGTATATTCCCTAATAGGTAGGTGAATAGGTGTAGTACCTATATTTTATATTATTGCTGTGTCTATCGCTACAACAAACTAATAGGTACACAAAGGTAGGAAGGACTAAGGAAAGACATAATTAGTTGTTTGTAATGACAGACCTCGCGGTAAATCAACCCTTTTAAAAACTGTTTTTATTTTTATCTTTCGTGACTTACTTCCTTTTAGTCGGGGGTTTTTCAATATGTTTATTTAATCCTTTTTCGATTACAACTTTATATCCGTCGTGGGTTTTTTCAAAATTTTTTATTTTGCTTTTTATTTTAGACTTTTTATAGAACTAAGTTACTGGCGTAGTAATATCTGATCTAAATCAACGAAAACTCTTCCACAACCTACACAATAGCATAGCGTTGGAAGAGTTAGAGCGATTTAGAAGCACGTTGCGCGGGTCGCATATCGCAGAAGCTGAAGAGAGGCCACAAAGCTGTCTTTTATCTGGACCTCTTATTATGGCATTAACATAGTGATCACTAAGAACCTTAACTCTATATAATATGTATGTGAGAGATTTCCGCTTATGTATTGACTCATCACGATATCCCTGAACCGTAAGGCCTAGATATTTGAAAGGCAGGATTTAGGATATTCCTTTCACGGAGTAGAGGTCAGCTAAAAAGAAAGAAGAACGGACGTTATTCTGCCCTTTTCGACGACCCTTCATATAAAAAGTTCTTAAATTCGTATTAAAAAAATATTGAGGGTCACTTATCGGGGTAAAAACTATCCTATCTTTCAAGTTGGACCGAACTGCACAGAGTGTGCAAAATTTCATTGAAATCAGTTCAGTAGTTTAGGAGTTCATCGCGGACAAACAACATGACACGTAATTTATATTATGGTCATAGATCAGACAATGATAAGTAAATTTTTGCTCAGTATGACTTATTAATATAGGTATAATCGCCAAAAAATGCTCTTTCATTTGGTCATATCAGGATAACTACATGCAAAATATTTCTGTGGTATTGAATACTAATCAGATTATGATAACTTTTATATTTCAACTTTTGTTTTGGTCATATTGCGTTAAGTGATTTTATTTTATTTTGATCTGACCGATTTTATTGATCAGAATATGACAAAAGCACACTTATCAACTTATGATCAAAAATTACTCGGTTAGCGGGAAACATGTCATAACGTGTCGTGTCATTATTGTTTGGCGTACCGCACATTTCATTGTTTATTGTTAGTTTTCGTTATTTCGCCGGTAAAGGAACATTAATATAGGTTATAATTACTGTTTAAATGATGAGTGCTCGCTATAAGAAGTTGTTGGAGTTAGCAATGAGGCAAGAAGATTCAGAGGTATGTTTATCATTATTAATCTTTATTGTTATTTTATTCAAAGCGCGTCAGTGTTCATTGCAAGAGTACGAGTAAGTATGTTTTAGTGAGCAATATTGTAATAATTAATATGACTGCTTGTGCCTAATATATTTTATATTAAACGAACTCTAAACAAAACATAATGACCGTTAACATACGTAGGTAATCGTTCAAAAGATAAAATACTGGCACCTAGGCCTAACGTTGTTTTTTTTTTCATTTTAGGATTTAGCTGTGAACCAATGTATGAGAGAACGTACTCCATTAGCTCAGATGCAATCTCTGCCCAGCCCGTCAGGTACTCTAGTAGCTCAGCAGGATATTTTGTCATCTCTGCCCGGTCCGTCAGGTACTGCCGTAGCTCAGCAAGATATTTTGCAATCTCTGCCCGACCCGTCAGGTAATCGAACTTATAGTTCTGATGACGATGTGCACAATTGTAATTTGTTCCCTGCTGGTACACACGATGAACACGTGTCATCATCGTCATCTAGCAAGACATCTACCCCTAGAAGTATTGGAAGTATTGCTGTCCCAGCATTAGTTTCTCAAACACAGAATGACGTTAGAAGAAAAAGGAAGCGTGATGTCGGTATGATGCAAAGAAAACTCCGTAAAGAAAGAACAGAAAAAATGAAAAAGGGGGAAGAGTACATAAATCAAGCTCGGAAAAAAAATTGGGTAAATCTGTAGGTGTACTAAAAGAATGCAGATTAAAATGTAAAACTAAATTTACGAATGCACAATTACAAAGAGTTTTCGCGGATTATCGCACTATGGAAACTAGGGATATGCAACGTTTACATTTGAGTAACCATATACTATTAACACTGCCAATTAGAGTTAAGCAGGTTGAATACAAAAAGAAAAGAGAAGTATCTGTAGAGTAGTTTATTGAAAATGAAGGTAATTTAGTAAAAGTCTGTCAAAACTGTTTTCTTAACGTGTATAGTGAGAATCGTGGTTTTGTGAATGGCATAATTGACAAGAAGAAAAAGTCAGCTACAGGTATCATTGGACGGGATGAAAGAGGCAAACATGAACCAAAAATTAAACATTCAAATGAAGCAATTGATTATGTGTGTAATCATATTTCTAATTTCCCTGCATACAAAAGCCACTATTCAAGACGACACACTACAAAAAAATACCAAGACACTGGGTTGAATTTACAAAAAATGTATAACTTATACCTAGACCAACATACCATGGACAACATAACTACAAAAATTGTCAGCGATACTTGCCATACTTGTGATACATTGGTAGCAAAAATAAAAATTACAATAAATGACACTTAGAAAATGAGACTACATGACGAACATGTCTCTCATCATGATAAAGCAAATTTTCATTAGGAATGTAAATCTTTCGATAAACAACGTGCCAAGTCATCAGGGAATACTATCGTTGTCGCTGTGTGTGATTTACAGCAGTGTCTCGCTACACCATACTTAAATAATAGTGTAGCATTTTACAAAAGGAAGCTATGGACAGAAATTGTAACTTGTTTCATGTGGCATGAAGCTATCGCGCAACGTGGTGCTGACGAAATAGCATCTTGCCTAAAAATGTTTATTATGAGTTTGCCCAAGAAACAGAACACGTTATTATTTATTCAGATACGAGTACATGTCCCGGGCAAACCCGCAACGACACATTACCTGTTGTATATAACTACATACTTACGCAGAAAGTTGGTTTGAAGACTATAGATCATAAATTTCTAGTTCCTGGTCACACACATTTAGAGTGTGATGCTGACCATGGGTCAATCGAGCGAGCCAAGAAGAAATATAATAGAAGAATTTCAATTCCAAATGACTGGTACATGCTTGTGAGAATGGTCAGCAGTAAGTTCCCTGTGATAGAATTGTCACAAGACGACATTTTTGCATTTTCGAGCATTCTAAAGCAGTGGCTTACAAAGAAGACCAAAGATCAGAATAACGAACCTTTTCTGTGGCGTACTATATTTTGGATACGTGTCGAGAAAGAACATCATTGTTTCTTTTGTTTTAAGTATTCACTGCGAGTGGAAGACGAGTTTAAAATATGTGACATGAAGAGGAAAGCCAGAGTCAGTCGAAATAATCAGCCAATAATGGATGTTCGTAAAGCGTACAATCAGCCATTATTAATAAGTAAAGAAAAACATAAGGATATTTTATCTTTATTACAGTACATTGATCCAGTGTACCGTGATTTCTATAAGAATGTAATAAAGTCTGACAACGACCTAGTAGACACATCACATATTAGTGATTATAATTCCGATTCTGAATAGAAATTATTCTATTATTAAGTCTATTATCTTATTTTTTAATGCTGCTTCGAGCGCAATGTTATATGCCAAATATTCTGCATTGTCACTTTAAATTTAAATAAAGTATTTTTCTCATATTTGTCTTTCATTTAAGATCATAACACGATAACTACCTACTCCTTTTGATCACAGTGTGACAAGTGCAACCATTCTTTAAAAAAGAAAACAATACGTGAATACTACGCATTCCACAATGAACTTTAAGTATTTTACAAATTACTAACAAATTTCCTTAATTTTAAAAATATTTTTTTTCATATATCGACTGTTTCGTATTTTAATAGTGCCTTCAAGATTTCTTAATAATTGAATTGCTTGTCCTGTAAAGTAATGAAATTGCATTTATCATATTCTGAGATATGGCCACTATATATATATATATATATATATATATATATATATATATATATATAATTCTTCTGTTCGTGTGTATGTAACTGAAATCCACCTAAACGGCTGGACCAATTTTGATGAAGTTTTGTGTGTGTGATTAAATTGATTTGACCATTTAGATTCACAATAGACCCGGTAGGTGGTGCTGTTGACGAAATCCAAAAATCACCCGTGCGAAGCCGGGGCAGATCGCTAGTATGTTATAAGATATCGATAACAGTATCTTAATCGGTGGAGCCGTCTCGAGGAAAAATTTCGCTACAATTAATTTTAACGAGTGATTTTTTTTATTGCACGCCCCCTTGCGAGCTAACACCATAAAACCTATCTGAGAACCAACGCCAATGAGTCACAAACCCTTTACAGGAAACCGTATCGAAATCGGTCAAACTGTTTTGCAGATAAATAGCAACATTCGTTTGCACCCTAAATGTTCATTGCAGCGCCCCCTGCCGAGCTAACACCATAACATTTACCTAATAACCATCGCTGATGAGTTACAAGCCCTTTGCGAAAACCATACTGAAATCTCTTAAGCCGTTTTGGAAATAAATGCGATCATTCGTTTGCACACACAAACAAACAACTTCTCACCCTAAACGCATACCTACACCTTCTCCGTTCCGTCGCGGCTAATAAATTGCAATATTCCATATTTTATTTCATCTTTTTGTGTTTTTTGCGTTAATATGAAAACATAAACTAAAACTTACGTTGTGGAAAGTGATTCCGCTTGATTAATTATGTATTTGTGACCTTGAATCGCATTCTTTGACTACGCATTTATCCATTTTTTGTCGTGAATCGTTCGGCTTAACTCGGTCGGCGTCACATTGAACACTGAACCGACGTTCGCTGGGCATATGGCTGGCTGTGGCCATATGTGAAATGGCAACGCTTTGGCGCGGCAATTAATTATCTAGTGTAATATATAAATCTATAAAATAAAATAATAATGGTATTTCGCCTCTACACGAGGCATCCTCAGGTGAAGTAGACTCGGAATGCGGAGGCCAATCCCAGCTGGGATTCAGCTGGGATTGGTGATGATGGGAATAGTGCACGCAATTGAGGAAGGGCGGGAGGTTATCTTCAAACTGGGCAGGACACTTCATTTTATTTCTTTACGCGGAATTAAGCAAATTAAGTTACAACAACTTCATTATAATGGATTTCCGCAAAGTAACGCCTGATTCTATTAATTATCCCTTAAATTGCTTGATGCACATGAGGATTATAGGAATCAACGAATCCTGTATCAACATCTCCAGAATGGTGCGCCCGAGCGTCTTTAAAATATGAGTAATTTGAATTTGGAATACTTTTTTTAACAGGCGGGTATTCTTATATGCCACTAGTTTCTTATGACTAAAACGTTTTTAATATTAATCTCTTTAAAGATCATTTTAAAGTGAGCTCATCTCTTGAAACTGTGCATAGGGTGAACGATGCAGAGTCAAGTTAGTCTGAATCACCACTGAGGATAACATGTAAGGAACTAAAATCCGTTATTAAAAGTATGAAGAGGGGCAAATCTCCTGGACATGACGGACTTAGCATCGAGCACCTTTAAAACGCTGGAATACATTTACCAAGAGTGTTGACCATGTTCTTTAATCTATGTTTAGGCCATTTTTACTTACCACAGGAGCCTCTGGATACTATAGTCGTGCCTATTATTAAGAATAGGACGGGATACATAGCAGATAAGTTTAATTACAGACCGATTTCACTGGCGACCGTAATAGCCAAAGTATTTGACAGTGTGCTCGACTCTCGCCTCAGTGAATACATAAAGATACACGACTCACAGTTTGGTTTTCGCCTGGGACTATCCACTGAGAGTGCTATTTTTGCATTGAAACACACTGTCAAATATTACACTGACAGAAAAACACCCGTGTATGCTTGTTTCCTGGACCTTTCAAAAGCCTTTGACCTGGTTTCCTACAATGTTTAGTGGGGAAAGCTTCTGGAGGCGGAAGTTCCTGCTTCATTAGTGTCTACGTTATCTATGTGGTATGACAAGCAAAGAAACTTTGTAAGGTGGTCCAATGCATTGACCCTTATAAACTTGAGTGCGGTGTGAGACAGGGAGGTCTTATCTCTCCGAGGCTTTTTAATATCTATATTAATAAGCAGATTGACGAGCTTAGCAACACACATGTTGGTTGCCATATAGACGGAGTAAGTCTAAACAACTTGAGTTACGCAGATGATATGGTGCTGCTGAGCCCGTCAATATGTGGAATGCGAAAGTTGCTTACCATTTGTGAGGATTATGCTGATCAATATGGATTGAAATATAATGCTGATAAAAGTGAACTGTTGGTTTTCAGAGGTAGAAATAAAAGTCCAACATATGTCCCTCCAGTAAAACTTAACGGTTCACTTTTACAGAGAGTAACCCAATTTAAATATCTGGGTCATATTGTGACAGAAGACTTAAAGGATGACCTAGATATCGAAAGGGAACGCAGGGCGCTAGCTGTGAGAGGTAACATGGTGGCTCGAAGGTGTGCTGCTTGCTTTATACCAGTTAAAATTACACTGTTCAAGGCTTTCTGCCAATCATTTTACTCCAGCAGCCTTTGGGCCAATCATACCCAAAGCGCAGGAAATACCCTGCGTATCCAATATAACAATGCCTTCAGGTTGCTGTTGGGGCTTCCACCTTATTGTAGTGCATCAGGCATGTTCGCCGATGCTCATACTGATGATTACTTTGCGATCATGTGTAAAAAAGCGAGATCATTGATGCACACAGTGAGGAAAAGCTGGAATAGTGTCTTGAGGGTCTTTGTGGAACGGCTAGATGGCCCAACACTGGGTAGGTTTGTTAAGCTACATTTATTAAATGGAGCTTGATAAAAACCCCCAACTTTTTCATATATTTCTGTCTTGTTTTATTTACTAACATTAGTTCTTAAGTTTTATTTTCTATTACTAACACGTTATGGGCCTACGATGCCTGAAAAATAAAACATTTTTATTTTTTATTATTATTTTATTATTTATTTATTAATATTGTTCTTTTTAAATTGTAAAACTTTCTTATAGGTGACATTGTAATAAACCTAAGCCGCTCCAGCGATCAAGTGGACCGTCCATACATCATGCTGAGTATCACCAAGGTCTGCTTAGATGTGGCCCTGATGGAATACGGGCCTGCCATTCAGCTGTCGGTAGACCAAGCACTGCTCACCGACAAGCAACATCACAGCAGCACTGGCCAGTACTTGGAACTTCTAACTAGTTCCGGAGATCTATTTAACTTGTTGTACAGAAAAGTGAGTAACGAATACATGCTTTTATTTTTTCTTAATACTCGCTGGATGCTATGCACCTGTTTGTTACTAGCTAATGACACTTTGGTGATGATTGATTAAGGAAATTCTATCTAAATGTATATTGAACCCAAGTTCAAACCAGTATCCTGTTTTTTTAAAATTAATATTTAAATGCTGTTAATAGCCCGAGTTAGAGTTTACATCAGGTAGTTGATTACCCCTGTCCCTCCATTACCGTGGGTGCAGTAAAACACAAAAGACGACAGAATTAAAAAAAAAAAAAAAAAAATCCAAAATTGCACGATGAGCGCTTTTTTTATATTAAAATTAAATGATATATATAATTAAATGAATAAGAAAAATTAATATGTTTTAAACGTCTATGAGTCTGATAACACTCAGCAATAGGGATCATTCTAAGGATAAATGGAAACTTATTCAGAAAGATTTATTTCATTTCGTTGCGTACATTTTGAAACTTGAAGACAAACAAATGCGCAGACTAACTGACAGCCGTACTAATATTTTTTTACTACATTTTTTGTAAATATAACTAAACAAATTAGTAAAAAAAAATACGCTGATTTTATAATTTAATATAATATCTAGTTTTTAAAAAATCTCGGTTTTTGTTAGTTAGTTAGTTAGTTTGGTAGTTTCAAAACATCCCCTTTTTAAATTGAGACATACTAACAATTTTATATTGCAAAATCGTCACATAGCGGCATGTCGAGTGTAGGGATGTTCGATGTTGTAGAAACATCGATGATGACATCGATGTTGACATCGACAGCTCAACATCGATGTTCGATGTTTATCCTACTCAAAACATCGATGTTGGCCATAATCGATTTTTTTGCACATGTATTTAATATGTTATAATTTGAGAATAAAAAAATTGTCATGTTGTTTATGGTTTATAATTAATGACATAAAAGAAATTAATAAACAATGTAGTATAAAACAGTAATTAAAAAAAATTGGAAGAAGTTCACAAATATTTAATTCACTTTTTATATTGTCCAATATATTTGCAAATTGATTGAAAAAATAGTAATTTTGACAAAGTGGTACCTTTCAATCTGTTTCTTTGTTGATAAAGAGTTGAGCCAGCTATTGAAAATAATTTAAAAATAAAATTTTGTACAACTGACTTAAGGATAACTCAAAAACTATTGGTCAGACTTATATGGGTCTAATTTATATCGGACCACATCTAAAGCCTCACCTTCGATTTGCCGACGATATAGTCCTTATGGCAGAATCGCTGGAGGACCTAAGCACGATGCTCAATGACCTCAATAGTGTTTCCCAACGGATAGGTCTTAAGATGAACATGGACAAAACAAAGATCATGTTTAATGTCCATGTCACACCTATGCCGGTAGTTGTTGGGAGCACTAAGCTCGAAGTTGTTGACGAGTATGTTTACCTGGGACAAATAGTCCGACTAGGTAAGTCCAACTTCGACCGAGAGGTAAATCGCCGGATTCAACTCGGTTGGCCAGCGTTCGGGAAATTACGGCACATCTTCTCGTCAGGTATACCTCAAAACTTGAAAACGAGACTGTACAACCAGTGCGTGTTGCCAGTGATGACATATGGAACTGAGACGTGATCCTTCACTGCTGGCCGTATAAGGAAGCTAAAAGTCGCTCAGCGAGCTATGGAGAGGGCTATGCTCGGAGTTTCTCTGCGTAATAAACTTAGAAATGAGGATATCCGCAGTAGAACCAAAGTGACCGACATAGCCCAACGGATTAGTAAGCTGAAGTGGCAATGGGCCGGCCATATAGCTCGAAGAACCGACAACCGATGGGGAAAAAAGGTTCTCGAGTGGCAGCCTCGTATCGGCAGGCGAAGTGTAGGGCGTCCCCCCACTAGATGGAGTGACGACCTGGTAAGATATGCAGGAAGTCGATGGATGCAGGTGGCTCAGGACCGTGCTTTGTGGCATTCCTTGGGGGAGGTCTATGTTCAGCAGTGGACTTGTGAAGGGCTGTAATGATGATGATGACATGTAAAGCACCAAATTTCAAATAAAGAAAAAGAATCATTGAAATCGGTTCACCAAGAAAAAAGTTATGAGGTAACACACACTAAAAAAGAACATTGACTTGAATTGAGTACCTCCTCCTTTTTGAAGTCTGAAGAAGAATCTGGGAAGTCAATATATTTATGTATGTATTTCAGCGTGTTTCGAATAATTACCTGACATGACCCTGTCTCCGGTTCTCTACACTCACCATACGAAACACAGCAGCATTGAACTGCTATTTTACGCTGGTATTCTGCGAGAGCGTGGTTCAAGCCCAGCCAAGCAGACTCATTCATGCTACAACCATAAGATAGCTGCAGCGTGACTCTACCTTGTAAAAAACAACCCAAACTGCTTGCACTCTTACACTTCGCACCGGAGTATAGCAGTAGGTGCACTGCCGCAAAATTTTATTTTTATTTATTAAATAAGGTACACAAATATACAGTAGTGACAATACAGTTCTAAAATTACAAGCATAATAGTGTTGATCTAAACTACAATCCAAAAAAGTGTATAAAAGTGTTATACGTGGTAGAGCCATGCTGCAGCCATATTAGTAGTACAGTTGTAGCACGAATTGGTCGGCTCGACCGAGGAAGGACTACTCCCTCACAGAATACCAGCGTTAAATCGCACTTTAACACTGCTGTGTTTCGTATGGTGAGTGTAGAGAACCGGAAACCCTTTTTACTGGAAAAGAGGCATTCCATCTTAGTCCTCATGGGTGACAACGCATCTGCATTTTGATTCTTTATTGAGGATAGATGTAAATGTCTATGAGGCACAGCAATCACTTACCATCAGGTGGCCTGTGTGCTCGTTTGTCACCCTATCCTATAAAAAAAGTGTACACAGCGTAATAATATAACTGCAGTAGAGACTTAATTGTAGCAAAAAGTAAACAAGATAGCAAAACGTGAGAAATACGTAAATTTCTTTTAAATCTAACAAGTCTGCTGTCGAATATATCTAGATGAACGTTACTTCGCTTAACGTCATCGTAATAACAGTACATTTTGACAAGACTCCCTTCTGCCTTCGGACAACCAGACGCACGGCCAGTCTCCACCCTTTCGTTGTCGACTTACCACGCATTCGAACCAAACGATTTGCTACGTCGTTCATAATGAGTACAGCAAAGGAGTGGAATGAGTTGTCAGCATGTCTATCCATACAATATCGATTACAATGTGGGTGTCAAGGCAAAAGTGAATAGGCTTTTGTTAAGTCAGTGCGCTTTACCATCTTGGGCTACATCACCACTTACCATCATATGGGATTGTAGTTAAGCACTGGCTTAGAATAGTAAAAAAAAAAGATTTTAAAGTGTAAGTAACCGGGGCAGGTGCGCGCCAACTGCCCGGAGTTCCGGTCGCACTTCCACAGCGTGGAGCACGCGTTGGTGGTGGATACGGGTCCCATCACGCTGCTACTGCACGCCGACGCACTGCGCACGCTGCTCAAGTACCTCCAGTATCTGCACGACAAGTGAGGCATCTCCTTGATTCCTAGTCTAAGCATTTGACTTTTTTTATATATAATAAGGTGAATATGGGTGAGTATGTGAGAGAGGTGTGTCAGGATCGTGCCAAATGGAAGTCCATAGTCTCTGCCTACCCCTCTAGGTGACAGGCGTGAGTGTTTATGTATGTAATAAGGCTGTCAAACGAGCACACAGTTCACCTGATGGTAAATGGATGCTGTGGGCCCATAGACATCTACATATATTATCGATTAAGAATCAAAATGCAGCTGCGTTGCCACCCCTGAGTACTAAGATTGAATGTCTCGTAACCATTAAAAAGGGTCTCCGGTTCTCTACACTCACTATACGAAAGACAGCAGCATTGAACTGATAATTTCCGCTGGTATTCTGTGAGAGCGTGGTCGTTATCTGGTCGAGCTCACCCATTCGTGCTACTATAATATACCTGCAGCATGGCTCTACCGTGTAAAAACAGAATAGAAATAACCTTTACTGATTTCTCTCACAATGAATACATTGCATAATTTATCTGTTACAAATATTTTTTTTACAAACAAAAGTGTACATAAATTTGTGGGAGACGGGAGCCCAATTTAGGATACCCTGTGCTATGGAACTCCCAGCTCCCAACTTGGGTAATCAGCTGTTTAAAATAAATATTGCAGTGACATTTAATTATTTTTCTTTTCTTTTGCAAGAGTATTCTGAATTGTACTGCATACTGCATAGTGCATTTAATGATCATTTCTTTCACCAAGTATATTCTATAGATGACGAAAATAATATGACATATTCAATACTTTGATACACAATAAATACAATTCATTTTCCTTTAAATTTGTTACACCTAATGAGATTCTATTAACTATAAAATTATTAAAAAACACAACTAGCACTGGTTTTGATGACATCTCAATGAAAGTGATAAAACACGTAGCAAGCACAATAGCCCCTGTAATGAGTCATATTATAAACCTGTGTTAAGGATGGTATATTTGCTGAAGTTCCTAAAACATCCATTATTAAACCACTGTTTAAAAAAGATGACAGGGAGGACTTACTCTGTTACCGTCCGATTGCTATGACTTTTATCTTTTCAAAAATTATAGAAAGAATTAAGTAATTTATAAGTATCTATATAATTACTTTGAAAAATTCAATATTTTTGCAAAGGAACAAAAAGGCTTTCATAGAAATAAATCTATTAATGTGGCAATTTATAATTTTTTATACCAAGTATTTACAAACGTTGACAGAACAGTACCAGTGACAACCCTATAATATATGGATATTTCTAAGGCTTTCGATTTTGTCAGGCATAACTTGTTAATTATAAAATTAAATAAATACTGTATAAAACACTTGATATTATAAAATACTACTTGACAAACAAATTACTTCAAATTCAAATTACTCAAGTATCACGGATTTGTCCAAAGATTAAAAATGAATATATTTCTTGGTCTTATTCTCGATCCTCAAATTTTGGTGTTCCTCAAGGAAGCGTACTTGGTCCTTTAATACTTTTAGTATATATTAACGACTTACCTAATAGCGTAAACTTTTCTATAACTCTATGTGCTCTATGGTGTTTACACGTACATGAAGAATATAACTAGCTGGCTTAAGTCAAATAATTTAATAATAAACTTAAAATCAGACTCAAATAATGAATTTTTATCATTGAAAATGGCCCCTTGATTTACTTAACATTAATTACGATGGTGAGACCGTTACTGAAACCAAAGTAACAAAATTCTCAGGTCTTTATATTGACAACAACTTCAAGTGGGAGACTCATACAGAATATATTTGCAAAAAATTAAATCAATTTTCTTACGATCTACATGATGTATTATCCAAAGTAGTTAATGAAGAAGCTTTACGGACGGTGTATCACGGCTTCGTATTTTCTACGGTGCGCTACAGTATAATTTTTTGGGACAATGCTGTCCGGCGCGAAAATATATTTATAGCGCAAAAAAGTGTATGCGTGTTGTTGCAAATATACCGAGTACAGAAAGCAGTAAAGAGTTAAAAAATTAAAATTATTGACATTTCCCGCATTGTATATTTATGAAGTTGTGACATTTGTAAAAACTAATCCTCAAATATTAAATGATTACTTAATAACAAACAATCGACGTAAACATAAAATTCATACAATTTCATCAAAGACAGCTTTACTTAGAAAAAGCGTTTTCGGTATATTATTTAAATTCTACAATAAAGTAAAATCCACGTTTCGTGAAATGGAAAATATACATAAATTTAAAAAAAGAATTTAAAACATTTGTAATTAAGAAATGCTACTACTCAATTAATGAATATTTAAGCGACGCATCAGTAGGAATATTATAATGATTTTGCATATTATATAATTTTTTGACATTTGATTACACTATATATTGTAAATATCCTATTCTAATTAATAATTACATCATTGTTGAACATTCTTATATAATTATAATATAAATAATTTGTAAATATAATAGATTTAATTGTAATTATAATATTTGTATACCTAAAGGTTGAATGTAGCGAACATTATTTTTTTAAATATCGATTCAATCTCATTACCTGTATCACAAATAAATAAAATTTGAATTTGAACATTTGAATTGTATTGATTCTTAGTTTAAGCCTTTAGGGCAGCGCTGCGAGGTCAAACCCCTCACGAAAATATTTGTATGACCTAAAAGTTACTGCTCTGGATATTTGTTTGATTTTATGTAATTCCAGGGTTAACTTTTTTTAATCTAAATGTGAAATAAGGTTATGTACGAGTATCAATATATTATATAGTATAATCGATATTACAGGCCATTTCCGATGGATATTTCTTAAAACACTAGCAACTAATAGCATAGTAAAAACGAGAATATTTTACTTTTGCCCTAGTAAGGTTTCAAATGCTTGAGCCAGGAGTGAGTTACAGCTTGCGTTTTGTGGCTGGCGGCTAAGTAGCCGTGACTTGATCACAGATAGAAACTAACTGGCATCCAGGAGATGGGTCTGTCATGAAGTGCTATCACGATGCGCCAGCCCAAGAAGACTAGACCTTCGGAGTTTTCCTTGCTTGCTTTCCTGGCACTTATGGACTTCTCGTGTCGATTTTGGATGTGTCGGTTGCGCACTTGAAAATGAAGATCACCTTGATTTACAGGAAGATTGAAAATCAGATACCGCATCTCTGACGCTGCTCTCCGTTGTCGCTCAGGGTACCTTACATCTGGTATGTTTGAGTTCATTATATTCTCAAGCATTCCAGATGTGAAACATCCAGACCGATATTGCTACTGTCGGAAGCCGTGAGATCTCTCTGGCACCCACTCACTAGACGAGAATGGGTAACGGATTGGGAAGGATTTGTTATAATTTTCATTGGTTGGATAATTATAATGTGCAGAGTTTGTGATTGTTTATAGTCACAATTTATATTGTAAATTTATTCTAATCCCTATTCTTACACTTTTAATTGTTCTTTATTCAGCAGTGAAGTTGTGTCTTGTAAATATAATAATTAATCTTCTTGTATATTAAATAATTTATTTATTTATTTAGGTAATCATAAAGCGTTTTCATCGTATTTGCAATACATATTATCTTACAGTAAGGCCAATAGAGATTACACAATTTTTATCAACTAATAATTAAGCGTACCTGTGTGCTTGAGTGCATGCGTGCATCCGTGTGTGTATCTGTGTGTGTGTGTATATGTGTCTGCGTGTCTGTGGTTGTGTGTGTGTGTGTGTGTTTGTGTGCGTGTGCGTGTGCGTGTGCGTGTGCGTGTGCGTGTACGTGTGCGTGTGCGCGTGTGCGCGTGCGCGTGCGCGTGTGCGCGAGTACGCGAGTGCGTGTGCGTGTGCGTGTGCGGGTATGTGTGCGTGTGCGTGTGCGTGTGCGGGTATGTGTGCGTGTGCGTGTGCGTGTGCGTGTGCGTGTGCGTGTGCGGGTGCGTGTGCGTGTGCGTGTGCGTGTGCGTGTGTGTGTGCGTGTTCGTGTGCGTGTGCGTGTTCGTGTGCGTGTGCGTGTGCGTGTGCGTGTGCGTGTGCGTGTGCGTGTGCGTGTGCGTGTGCGTGTGCGTGTGCGTGTGCGTGTGCGTGTGCGTGTGCGTGTGCGTGTGCGTGTGCGTGTGCGCGTGCGTGTGCGTGTGCGTGTGTGTGTGTGTGTGTGTGTGATTATGCCCTATTTTTGTTAACAACATCACGTTTGATGCGGCTCTTGGATAGGTTGAAAATATCCAAGTCAGTATTTATTGTATTGTGGCGCTTGGTAGGCATGTTACTTTTTAGTTAATAAGATATGTTTTATTTTAAGGATTCAAAGTAGACACGCGTTGAATGTGAAGAAGACGGTGCTGCCGAAAACCGAGTCATTGTGGAACCATCTAATGAAACCAGAAGCTGACCCGCCTGTGCCACCAGGAGCAACTAAATTTAGCTATTCTGTCAGGTGAAGCGATTATTTTATTTTTTTCACTTACACACCCCTACGTTTTATTTTTTTATTTTTTTATAGTATAGGGTGACAAAGGAGCACACAGTTCACCTGATGGTAAGTGGTTGCTGTAGCCCATAGACATCTACATCTATCCTCAATAAAGACTCAAGATGCAGATGCGTTGTCACCCGTGAGGACTAAGATGGAATACCTCTTTGCCAGTGAAAATGGGTCTCCGTTTCTCTACACTGACCATACGAAACACAGCAGCGTTAAGCTGCTATTTTACGCTGGTTTTCTGTGAGAGTGTGGTCCTTCCCCGGGCGAGCCGACCCATTCGTACTACAACTATACTACTAATATAGCTGCAGCATGGCTCTACCACGTATAAAATTCATCAAATTTTTTTAAAGATTAAACAAGAGGTAAAATTAAAAACTTTGTACAACCGACTTCAATATAAATAAAATGAGAACGTCATCAATGTACATAGTCGAATTCAATTAAATACGCATTTTTAAGGATAACTCGAGAACTACTTGATCAAATTTATATGGGACTCGTATTGTCAAAGTACCCGCTTTAAAATAAATAACTGGCCAAGTGCTAGTCGGACTCGCGCAAGATGGGTTCCATAGAACGGTAAAACAGATTTCTAGTAGAGGAGCCCACTTTAATTTTTAATTTATTTTTATTTTTATTATTTGTTGTTATGTATGTAGCGGCAACAGAAATACACCTATTACGGATCATGAGATACAACCCGCTAACAGACAGATGGACGGACGGATGGACAGCGGAGGCTTAGTAATAGGACCCCGTTGGTTACCCTTCGGGTACGGAACCCCAAAAAAGAATCATCGAAATCGGTTCTAAGGTAATAAAAAGTTAAAAAAATACAGTCGAATTGAGAACCTCCGTTTGAATTGAAATCGGTTGAAAAATAATACAATTCTAGAAACCACTCAACTCATTAAAGTTCACTGTTGTATCTCCCCTTGAAGGGAGAATTTGCCTTAATATGCATTTCAGAGGATTGACTATAGTAGCTCATTTCGCACCTTAGATGCTCCTCGTCGCCAGCTTCGGTATTTTACGTCTGGTGTAAACGAGATGGTTATAGTCGTCCTTTACGACATCCACGAAATGAGTCAAAGTAATGTTTTCTAAACTTCAACTACACGGCGTAGTTTATTACTCTGATCACTAATTTGCATCAGCTATTTTATTTTTTGTATAATTTAATCCAAAATAATTAATGTTCTCAGAGCAACATCCATCTCGGTGCGCTTGTGCCACTTGGATTGCTCGCTAGTTGAGATCCGGCTGACTACGCTGGAGAGTGACTGCGTGTTCCGTGCCAACGACCGCATGATCTTCAAGCTGTATCTGGGATCTTTCCAACTCGATGATCTATCTGAAAATACACTTTATCCAAAGGTATTTTATTTCAAGATTAACAACTAATTTTCACGTTATTTTTATAGAAGCAAGCGAACTACCTTCTCACTGTAAATAATATTATAGTGTTTATGTACGACAGATGATGAACTGCACTATGCATTAATATCTTATATAGGTTCATGTTGCGCTGTACTTATGAATTGTGTTTATTATATATTTTTGTTATAATAAAAAAATCATGTTTCAAATAAAATCATCTTCACTACAATCCACCATAAATCTACCATACTACCTAAATACTACCGTATCAAGCAAGTCTTGCCTGGTTATTTAGCTTAATCTAGTGTAGTTCTAGCCTAAACTCCGCTTACTGGTAGTATGAGAAATTAAAAACCTTTCTTCCCCATCCTGAAACGGCTGGTCCATTGCGGCTAATTGATCCTTTGATCTAAAGAGTAAAACCTTCAAGCGGCTCACAGATTACGCAGATACGATAATATTTTATCTTCGTTTAAAAAATTATTCTTGATTAAATGTTAAATTTCTTTAATATAAATAATTTACTTCATAAAAATCAATTTGGTTTCACAAGTGGTCGCTGGGCAACTGATGCCGGTGTTGAGTGATTAAATATATCTTTAATGCATGGGAGAATTCACAGGAGGCTTTGGTTATATGCTGTGTCCCATCCAAAGCCTTCGATAGTGTTGACCATGAAACATTAATCAGGAAACTTCAACACTATGGTGTAAGAAGTGATTAATTATTTCATATTTAAGTACTAGAACGCAAGAAGTTGTCATTAACAGTATGAGCTCTTCCAGGTTGATAGTACAAATGGGCGTGCCTCAAGGCTCAATTCTCAGCCCCTTTGTGTTTCTTGTATACATTAATGACGTACCTTACATAGTAGGGGTATATGACAACCATGGTATAGCATTACTTGCTGATGACACTTCTTTACTTTTTCAAATTAAGACGACAATTACTAAAATATGACGAAGTAAATAATGATATATCTAAATAATAAATTGGTTCAATGTTAATAATTTGCATTTAAATGGCACTAAAACGAAATGTATGGAATTCATGACTCCAAATGTCAAACAATTAAATACTAATGTAATTTTAAATGGGGAGGAACTGAGTCTTGTCGATACCACCATTTTTCTTGGAATCACACTAGACGCGAAGCTTCAATGTAGCCGCCATATATCAAAACTAGCAAGCAGACTTAGTTCTGCAGCATATGCAGTAAACAAGATTAGAAATCTTACCAGTGTTGAAACAGCTAGACTAGTTTACTTTAGCTATTTCCATAGCATAATCTCGTATGGTATTTTGCTATAGGGAAATGCAGCTGACACTGAAATTATATTTGTTTTACAGAAGAGGGCCATAAGAGCAATTTATAGTTTACAGCCCAAAGAATCACTGCGACAAAAATTTAAGGAAATGAATATATTACATTTGGCCCCTCAATACATTTATTAAAATTTAATGTACGTATACAAAAATAAAAATAGTTTCACAAAAATAAGTGAATTTCATTCTGTAAATACTAGGAACAGACACAAGTTAGTAGTACCAGTTACTCGACTCCACCGAGTCAGTAATTCATTCTTGGGGCGATGTATGCGCTTTTACAACAAAATCTCTGAAAATATGCAAAATTTGACCTGCTCAAAGTGCAAAATCTTTATTAAACTAAGTTTTTATAAAAGGGGTTACTATAATATTAAGGAATTTATTAATGATAATAACCCCTGGAAATGAGGTGATCGCTACCATTACCATACCGCTATTTCTACTTTGTTGTGTTGTTAATTGTGTAACATATATGATTGTAAGCTGTTTTTTTTTAAATAAAGTCCAGCTGGGTTTCTTACTGGTTCTTCCCAGGACAGAGGTATTTTTTTTTCGAACCAGTAGTAATTAAACACAAGAGTAACTTTCAATAAGTATTATATATAATCTATATTTAAGTTTCTGTTTCTGTTTCGTATAAAACTTAATTATCTGAAAGTTACAACACTACGCAAATACGATAATATGTGAAGTGATACATTCACTCGAAATCCTTCAAACTTACTAGACCTGTTTTTTGGTGCGGATTGTTTATACAGTGTTACCTACAATGAGTGGCGTATATTGCTTCTAGATTTGCTAGACAGCTGGTCAAAAGAGGATTCTGATTTTAAGTTTGATATACGTGTTGCATTAAATTAGCTAAAACGCGAAAAAATTGGATAGAACGTCATATAAAGCTTAAATAAAATCGAGATGAATTTAATCTATAGAATGATCTATTAGATAACAAATTTACAATATATTTTCGAAACCCGAGGGCAACATTTTTGGCGATTAATGAGTTGAGTAAAAGAAGACATTGAAAAAAACTAAAATGCGTGAAGGAATTTCTCCAATGTGATCAAGCTTATGGTGATTTTTCTCCATTATCTTCACAAATTCACACACCCTAACCCTTGTTAATTTTTAAGCGTGTAACCATTATGTGAAGCTTACAATGGCCCTTCATATTATTTAAATAAAACTGAATTAACAAACGAACTTACAGGCTGTTTAAAGGTAAAAGGGGATTAAATATACATATTAAACGATGCCATAGTAAAAGTATTTCGGCTTCACAGCCTGCCGTAGAAATTCATAACTCTATTAGCAATTCCTGTAATGACACAAATTTTTCCCTTTTTGGAGCAAATTTACAATTATTATCGTAATGTACCAGTGGTTAAAAGAATTCCTAGAGGTGCGAGGATGCAGCTTGCTAAAGCATTGTCATGCACTATTCAAAATTGTTTCACTAATAGTGAAAATAGTTGGCAAAAATTATTTACTTTCGCGTATTCCCATTTTCATTTTGATAAAACAATAAATAAATCAACGACGGCTCCGTGGCGCAGTGGCTTAGCAATGAGTTGCTGCGCTGGGGGGCGCGGGTTCGAATCCCGCACGGAACAAGTATTTGTATGGCCTACAAATGATTGTTCCGGGTCTGGATGTTTGTCCTTGTGAAATTTGTGTTTGTAAACTGCCTCCACGATTCAGGAGAAAATCGTAGTGTGGGGGTAACGTTTTTTTAAAGAAAAAAAAAATTACGTCTCAACTAAAAGAGATATCTTTTCAAAATTTAGATTACCCAAATAATAGTCATTTATCTCGACCACGTATTAAATTTGATTTAATAAAAGTAGTTGAGTCGAAAGTAATGGATGGCGACTTAAAAAATGCATCCCGTATTTTATTCTCAGACGACATCCTGGCTCCTCGTAATCTCGAAACTCTTGAAAGCCTTCGTCAAAAGCATCCTTCGGTCAAACCGTCTCAGGGTGCATCGCCTCCCAAGACTTCTATGCAACCTTTACAAATTTCGGAAAAAGACACTTTAGAAGCAATTATGTCATTTTCGAATGGCTCTGCTGGCGGCATTGACGGAATTACGCCTCATCATCTTAAAGATCTTGTAAGCGCTTCTGTCGGTGACGCCAGCGGAGTACTTCTTAAAGACATTACAAAATTATGTAACTTTATGCATTCTGGTAATATTAATCAAAATTTCATTCCATTCTTATATGGGGCAAGATTATGTGCCTTCAAAAAAAAAGGATAACGGTATCCGTCCTATTGCCGTTGGTTCCACATTTCGACGCTTAACTTCAAAATTAGCTTGCAGGCACGTAATCTCTAATCTTAAGACCAAATTTCAACCTAATCAACTAGGCTTTGGCACTAGAGGTGGCTGTGAGGCGGCGGTACATTCAGTGCGTACATTTTTAACAAACTCTGATGCAGTTGTTCTTGTGAAGATTGACCTACGGAATGCTTTTAACTCTATCGATAGGGTAACCTTGCTGAAAGAAGTGGCTAACAATACCCCCGATATTTATCATTACGTTTGGCAATGTTATAGTCAAAATACTAACTTGTTCTACGAAAACCATGTTATCGATTCTGCTGTCGGTGTTCAGCAAGGTGACCCACTGGGTCCAGCACTTTTCAGTTTGGGAATTCAACCCATTATTTCAAATTTGAAATCCAAGCTGAATGTCTGGTACCTAGACGACGGTACACTAGGAGGTAGAGCAGATGACGTCCTCAGCGATCTTACTCATATTTTTCGAAATTTTAAAAATATTGGTCTTGAACCAAATAGCAATAAATGTGACATTTTTTTTTTCCAATAATTTATCTACTTCTCATAGAGACACTTTAATTCGAAATTTTAATCATATTTGTCCAGGAATAAAAACTGTCAGTACGGAATCACTATACCTGCTAGGTGCCCCGTTGTTTTTCGATAATATTAAACCTGTTTTGAAAACAAAATTTGATCAGTTTTTAAACCACGTTGATAAATTGTATAAATTAAACCCCCACATAGCTTTTACTATTTTAAAATATTGTCTTCTTGTACCTAGATTTACATACTTACTCCGCTCGAGTCCAGTCTGGAAATGCTCGGATATTTTACAAGATATTGATAATAATCTTAAAATAGCTATAGAAAAAAATCTAAATTAAACTTTAAATACAACAGCCTGGACTCAAGCTACTTTACCTATAAAATTTAGTGGCATTGGTGTGAGAAATCTTTCTAGCGTTGCATTGCCTGCTTTCCTTGCTTCCGTGCATAATGTCAGTAACATATATAACATAATTTTAAATAATAAAGTAAACCTATGCTTTGCTACGGAGGCAGGGCAGACATGGCAAACGCTCTGTCCTGGTGAAAATGTTCCACTGGAAGTTAACCAAAAAAAACAGTGGGATATTCCGTTGGTACAGGGCGTGCAGAAGGATTTGTTTCATAACTTCCATAGTGACCAAGATAAGGCACGCCTTCTAGCTGTTTCGACTAAGAAATCTAGTCACTGGTTACACGCTTTACCATCAAGTAATCTCGGCACATTACTTGATAGGGAAATCTTGCGCATTTCCGTAGGAATCCGACTAGGAGCGGCGATTTGTCAACCCCATCAGTGCCCCTGTGGTAGCAGCGTCGACAAGTTTGGGCTCCACAGACATTCATGTAAGAAAAGCGCTGGTAGGTTTTCACGACACAGTTCTTTGAACGATGTCATCCGAAGGGCTCTTGCCTCTATAAATGTTCCCTCGGTTTTAGAGCCTTGTGGAATATTTAGAGACGATGACAAGAGACCCGACGGTATGACATTGGGAGAGAGGTAAAGCCCTAGTGTGGGATGCTACTTGCGTAGATACTCTGGCGGCCTCTCATCTCAGGGGTACCTCGTTTAGAGCCGGGGCGGCATCAGAGGCAGCTGAACTGAGTAAATGGCGCAAATATGAGTCTCTGAGCGATGACTACATATTTGTGCCATTTGCTGTAGAGACTATCGGTCCGTGGGGTCCACGTGCGGTGAAGTTCCTAAAGGAACTCCATCCGCGGCTGGTCGTTGCTGCTGGTGATAAGAGGGCTGGTTCTTTCCTCGCTCAAAGGCTAAGTATAGCCATTCAGCGGGAAAACGCAGCCAGCATTCTTGGCACGATACCGAGGGGAGTAGGACTATATGATAATTAAGTTTCTAGTTTTATTTATTTTTTTATTATCATAGAATATAATAGAATAGAATAGAATAGAATAGAATAGAAGGGGGCTCAAGAACGTGATTGTAATATTTCTTCTTATGACAAGCATTGCATATATAATATAAAGTATGGATCAAACAGTTGGTGTGGCCAGATGAAGACAAAGTGCTTGAAATAAAATACGTTCGCGCGGCGACTCGTCTGCGCGCGCACGCGCACGCCGAACTGCGGGTGTACCTGGGAAGGCTGCACGTCGTGCTCTTCTGCTCTTTGCTGCATCATCTGCAGGTGAGAGCTCCTTAATGTCCGCTGACACCACACGAGAGAAGTGTCTATAATATACGTCATAGACGCCCATTACACGCCTAGGCAAGCGTCAATCAGTTCGATCAATCATGATTAACGTTTGTATGATAGAATAATTTCGACATTACACGCTCATGCTGACTGATGTCAGTCAAACCCAAATTTTCGGAGTGAAAGGACGTACCTATAAACTAAGTTCATTTTCGATTCACCATTTAATTATAATTTTATATCTTGAAAAGAAAAAGAAAAAAAAAACGAATAGGAAAAATTGTAATATTTAATATCATTTTACCCATTTTAATTTAACGCGCGCAAATGTTAGACCTCTTGGAGTGCATAATCGATAAGCGGCTTTATTTTAAACGCATTTATGGACGAAAAATAAGCTTAACTTTTACATTTATTCGTACAGGGTGGATGCCCCTATTACCAGCCTTTTAGTGTCAATTTCAATTTCCTTTTGTATATCTAATGCCAGCATAGCATAGGGCTATGCCTCTTGAGTTTTTGGTAGGTACCTATTGTAGGTAAATTTTAGGGGCACTGAAATAAATTCATAACAACTTTTAATTTTAAATCATGCATGTCACAAGTATGGAATATGTATTACGACAACAATTATTTTATTTTAATGTTTTACTTCTTACCTTACTGTGGTTTAGCTTTAAGCAGTTAAATTTTTCTTTTAACACTAAACAATTAATTAAAACAATATTATATTAAAAATTATGTATTATAGTACACCGATTTCTTATAATTTAATCACCCAAGTTTTTGAATCTTTATCATCATTTCAGCCCTTCACAAGTCGACTACAAAAGATCATCCTCCATAGACTGCCGCAGAGCATGGTCCTGAACCACTTTCCTGTTTATGACTTTTTCATTTATGTCTTAAGTTATAGTAAAATTAGTATTACTAGTTGTAGTTAATTACATTTATTGTTTGTTTTTGTCTTTCTCAAAAAATAATTAAATATTGTATGGTGTTCTTAACATGTACCAAATGTCTGAAAAGCAAGTACGTATCATTTGTTAAACTTTTAAATCAAACACCAATTTTAAAATATAGACGAATTGATCATAACTTACTTAACTATAAAATAAGTTATGTTTTTTTTTTTATATAGGATAGGGTGACAAACGAGCACACAGTCCACCTGATGGTAAGTGGCTACTATGACCCATAGACATCTACATCTATCCTCAATATAGACTCAAGATGCAGATGCGTTGTCACCCGTGAGAACTAAGATGGAATGCCTCTTTGCCAGTAAAAAGGGTCTCCGGTTCTCTGCACTCACCATACGAAACACAGCAGCGTTAAGCTGCTATTCTACGTTGGTTTTCTGTGTGAGTTCAAATTAATGGTATTTATTCTAGTTTATGACTGCCCTGATTTATATTACGTGGTTAAAATAATGTACTTCTTATTATTTACGTCAAACCAAATAAGAGTCGGGCGACTGACAATATGCACTCCATAAATTTCATATATCTAATTACAGCCCCATTAATTTCCACTAAAAGAAAATGTCTATAGTTACATTCATACAAATCAAAAAGCCTAAAGATGAGCTAATGTAAAATATGCTTATGTCATAAAATTATTACGTAATAATTCTATGGCTTATGTTTTGATTTTTAATTTAACACTGTTAGGTTTAAAACTGTGAGATAATATATATACCATATTTGTAGTTAAGACTACTAGAAATCTTATTTACGAAGTAAAAAGGCGGAAAGGCTGGAATTAGGGGCGTGGCTGGTATTAGGGGCATCCAACCTACCCGGGGTTTTTCGTGTCCCACGACTCGGGGAGAGACTGAAAATTTAAAATAAAATCTTTTTCTGGCTGAAACACATTTGGTGGGAGTGGCGACGGGCTGCGCGAGCGCGTAGAAGCAGCCTCTTCAATAAATTCTGCGTCCGCCTCCATTGCTGTCTAAGCGTTGACTGACGCGTGATTGACGAAATGCCATTACACGTTCAATCAAAATTCGTGACTAATAGTTGATTGACGTAAAAATCAAAATATCCAGATATTTGTCAATCAATTTTATGCAACCGTCAATCACCGCATTACACGATAGGTTATTCGTCAATCACAACCGTGATTGTTGTAAAACTGACAGCAAAACCTACACTACCTACCTACCTAAGTTTTGCTGATTTTATTTTAAATTTTCAGTCTCTCCCCGAGTCGTGGGACACGAAAAACCCCGGGTAGGTTGGATGCCCCTAATACCAGCCACGCCCCTAATTCCAGCCTTTCCGCCTTTTTACTTCGTAAATAAGATTTCTAGTAGTCTTAACTACAAATATGGTATATATATTATCTCACAGTTTTAAACCTAACAGTGTTAAATTAAAAATCAAAACATAAGCCATAGAATTATTACGTAATAATTTTATGACATAAGCATATTTTACATTAGCTCATCTTTAGGCTTTTTGATTTGTATGAATGTAACTATAGACATTTTCTTTTAGTGGAAATTAATGGGGCTGTAATTAGATATATGAAATTTATGGAGTGCATATTGTCAGTCGCCCGACTCTTATTTGGTTTGACGTAAATAATAAGAAGTACATTATTTTAACCACGTAATATAAATCAGGGCAGTCATAAACTAGAATAAATACCATTAATTTGAACTCACACAGAAAACCAACGTAGAATAGCAGCTTAACGCTGCTGTGTTTCGTATGGTGAGTGCAGAGAACCGGAGACCCTTTTTACTGGCAAAGAGGCATTCCATCTTAGTTCTCACGGGTGACAACGTATCTGCATCTTGAGTCTATATTGAGGATAGATGTAGATGTCTATGGGTCATAGTAGCCACTTACCATCAGGTGGACTGTGTGCTCGTTTGTCACCCTATCCTATATAAAAAAAAAACATAACTTATTTTATAGTTAAGTAAGTTATGATCAATTCGTCTATATTTTAAAATTGGTGTTTGATTTAAAAGTTTAACAAATGATACGTACTTGCTTTTCAGACATTTGGTACATGTTAAGAACACCATACAATATTTAATTATTTTTTGAGAAAGACAAAAACAAACAATAAATGTAATTAACTACAACTAGTAATACTAATTTTACTATAACTTAAGAACATAAATGAAAAAGTCATAAAAAGGAAAGTGGTTCAGGACCATGCTCTGCGGCAGTCTATGGAGGATGATCTTTTGTAGTCGACTTGTGAAGGGCTGAAATGATGATAAAGATTCAAAAACTTGGGTGATTAAATTATAAGAAATCGGTGTACTATAATACATAATTTTTAATATAATATTGTTTTAATTAATTGTTTAGTGTTAAAAGAAAAATTTAACTGCTTAAAGCTAAACCACAGTAAGGTAAGAAGTAAAACATTAAAATAAAATAATTGTTGTCGTAATACATATTCCATACTTGTGACATGCATGATTTAAAATTAAAAGTTGTTATGAATTTATTTCAGTGCCCCTAAAATTTACCTACAATAGGTACCTACCAAAAACTCAAGAGGCATAGCCCTATGCTATGCTGGCATTAGATATACAAAAGGAAATTGAAATTGACACTAAAAGGCTGGTAATAGGGGCATCCACCCTGTACGAATAAATGTAAAAGTTAAGCTTATTTTTCGTCCATAAATGCGTTTCAAATAAAGCCGCTTATCGATTATGCACTCCAAGAGGTCTAACATTTGCGCGCGTTAAATTAAAATGGGTAAAATGATATTAAATATTACAATTTTTCCTATTCGTTTTTTTTTTTCTTTTTCTTTTCAAGATATAAAATTATAATTAAATGGTGAATCGAAAATGAACTTAGTTTATAGGTACGTCCTTTCACTCCGAAAATTTGGGTTTGACTGACATCAGTCAGCATGAGCGTGTAATGTCGAAATTATTCTATCATACAAACGTTAATCATGATTGATCGAACTGATTGACGCTTGCCTAGGCGTGTAATGGGCGTCTAATGGGCGTCTAACTTGTAAGTTGTTTTAGTTTATACGATTGTCTACCGTAGGTATTGTTTTTGTGACATTCCCGTATGCGATCTTATTTAAATCATCGATTGACTTCAACCGCAAGTTAAATTTTAACAAAACATTAAATATTTAATTCGTGTCTGGAGATAATGTGATTATCTCTACATCTCTACAAACCAAAACAGAACAGTAGGCACTTAGCAGAATAAATAGAATGGTACTTAACCAGACAGAATTATCTTCATACTTAACATAATGGTGTTTACAGCACTATGTAACGTACGCTATGTTAATACGACAGCAATTCGCGGAGCCACTGGTACCAAGCACAGCAGCGGCGGAGGCGGCGGCGGTAGCCGAGCGCGAAGCTAAGCTTCGCGCGCAAAAACTTCGCGCATGCGCAGAACGGCTCAGTCTTATCATTGAGGTAAACTTATACTTTACGAAACAAAAAGTTATTCTCGTTGTATACATATTTTACCAGCAAAACTTACGTCTAATTTCCGAAGGAATGTACGTAATCCATACATACAAATAAAATTGAAGTGTATGTCTGTAATAATCAAGTAACTGGCTTCAAATTAAGCAACCATTTAAAAAAAATGTCAATCTGGACTAATTTTCGGCACCGATTGTGATGGAAGTTTACGAACAGATGAAAGCAATGTCAGGAGGGATCTAGAGGCTCTATTTTATTCGAAAAACTTAAGGTTTTTTTAATTCTCTTGAATTTAAACAACAAAAATATAATAAGAGATAATACCTAGCTTGTCACACAATCGCATAGCTTGTCGCTCAATGTTTGTGTTTCGACTCACAATGAGTGGAAGGGTCGTCGGAAAGGGCAGAACAACGTCTGCCTGGCCAGCTAGTATTAAATATATATTATTTTTATTAATTATTTAACATGTAATATGTACCAATTCTGGGTGTTTTTTTTTTAAATTTCTATTACCTAAATTAACAATTTCTTTTATAGCTCCATGCTCCAGTGCTACTTCTACCGCAAAAACCTTCTTCCCCGGATTTGCTGGTTATAAACATGGGTAAATATATTACAAAATTGCTGTTGAAACTTACGGTTTCCACAATTTTAAAAACTAAAGTTATTATGTCGCTCGACTACTTGAGTGATAATGTCCAGAAGAGTGTGTTAAAGTAATGTGATCACGTGATTTAAATTATAAAACCTTTAATATCTTTCATATTTTTTTTTAATCTTCCATATTTATATTTTTTGTCTATATTAATCTATATTGTACCAGCAGAAACAGAAAATCACTCAATTTTTTTATAGCTTCAGGATGATAAACGAGCACACAGTCCACTTGATAGTAAGTAGGTGCTGCGGCCCATAAGACATCTACTTTATCCTATATCAAATTGCAAATGTGTTATCACCCCTGAGAACTGAGATGGAATGCCTCGTTACTAGAAAAAGGGGTCTTCGGATCTCTACACTCATCTCCACTTTACTAACTCAACAAACTGGTGGACGCATATACAAATGCTGTATGGTATGTCAAAAGACGTGTGTGCAGCTTTAAAAATCACTCATGAATATTTTCAGGTGACTTACTCATAGAGAACTTCTTCAAGCCTGTGAACGTCAGCCAAGAAGCCAATAGTCCAGTTGCAAATCCCATAATCGACAACATCTTGATCAAGCTTGAAAACATCACGCTATCAAGAGCTGTGATGACTTTGGCTGGCACTTTAGAAGTTCAGGCAAGTACATTAATTTTATTGGATAATATTAAAATAAAGCTTTTTAAAATTTGTGCCATTATTTTCGAAACCTTTCATTCCACTACTCAATACGGATTTCCGAATTGAATAGTGGGAAAAACAAAAAACAACAAAATACGGAACACAATTACAGAAACGCATAAACATAATCCGTGCCAAAAGATGCCATTGCTACCTACTTTTATATTGTATATAACCTAAAAAGCTTTTCTGGCCCCTTTTAGGGCGAAATACGGAAGAGAATTTCTTTTACACTAATACATTACATCATCATCATCATCATCATCATTACAGCCCTTCACAAGTCCACTGCTGAACATAGGCCTCCCCCAAAGAATGCCACAAAGCACGGTCCTGAGCCACCTGCATCCATCGACTTCCTGCATGTCTTACCAGGTCGTCACTCCATCTCGTGGGGGGACGCCCTACACTTCGCCTACCGGTACGAGGCTGCCACTCGAGAACCTTTCTTCCCCATTGGTTGTCGGTTCTTCGAGCTATATGGCCGGCCCACTGCCACTTCAGCTTACTAGTCCGTTGGGCTATGTCGGTTACTCTGGTTCTACTGCGGATATCCTCATTCCTAAGTTTATCACGCAGAGAAACTCCGAGCATAGCCCTCTCCATAGCTCGCTGAGCGACCTTGAGCTTCCTCATACGGTCAGCAGTGAAGGACCACGTCTCAGTTACATAAGTCATCACTGGCAACACGCACTGGTTGTACAATTTCGTTTTCAGGTTTTGAGGTATGTCTGACGAGAAGATGTGTCGTAGCTTCCCGAACGCTGCCCAGCCGAGTTGAATCCGTCGATTGACCTCTCGGTCGAAGTTGGACTTACCTAGTCGGACTATTTGTCCCAGGTAAACATACTCGTCAACAACTTCGAGCTTAGTGCTCCCAACAACTACCGGCATAGGTGTGACATGGACATTGAACATGATCTTTGTTTTGTCCATGTTCATCTTAAGACCTATCCGTTGGGAAACACTATCGAGGTCATTGAGCATAGTGCTTAGGTCCTCCAGCGATTCTGCCATAAGGACTATATCGTCGGCAAATCGAAGGTGAGTGATGTACTCGCCATTGATGTTGATACCGTTGATACATTACATAGTACCTACATATTTCTGTCATCTTTCTAAAAAAATAAAATTTATAGTAAAGTAACATAACAGTGTAGCCATAGTTTAATTAATTCATGTAGCGGCCTCTAGACAATGCGAGTGTCAGGCTATACTCCTACATTTACCAATTTGCAGTATCGCGTATTTTTTTTAAGACTGCGGGGCCCTTAAGCTGTGGTCTGCTTTGTCCTTAGATTAATTCGATCCTGGGTGTGCCTTATTACATGTAGTTAGTATTGCTTCTCTGTCTCTACTCAGTAGTCTTTGTTCGGTTAAAGTTTTATCCCGATTCCGGCAGAACTACTTAGAGTGACCTCATCAACTATTTGAAAAAAAGCGGAAAAAATAACGTCATACGCCCGGAACAAAACAGCAATCATACACTGGCCACCTTGTAATTCCGATAGAATTTTCGGAAAGTGACCGCCGCGTTGTGCCGTGAGCAATATATTTTGTGTTAGTGCATGTCCTAAATATTATCTTTTCAGACAATTAATAGAATCAGACTGTACTTTGCGGAAATCTACTATATCAAAAATGTTAATTAGCTAAGTTCCGCATACACATCATCATCATCATCATTAAAGTCCTTAGCAAGTCCACTGCTGAACATAGGCCTTCCCCAAGGAATGCCACAAAGCACGGTCTTGAGCCTCCTGCATCCATCGACTTCCTGCATGTTTTACCAGGTTGTCACTCCATCTAGTGGGAGGACGCCGTACACTTCGCCTACGGGTACGAGGCTGCGACTCGAGAACCTTTTTTCCCCATAGGCTGTCGGTTCTACGAGCTATATGGCCAGCCCATTGCCACTTCAGCTTACTAATCCGTCGGGCTATGTCGGTCACTCTGGTTCTACTGCGGATATCTTCATTTCAAAGTTCCTCACGCAGAGAAACTCCGAGCATAACCCTCTCCGTAGCTCGCTTAGCGACCTCGAGCTTCCTCATCGGAGCAGCAGTGAAGAACCACGTCACAGTTCCATTAGTCATCACTGGCAACATGCAGTGGTTGTACTGTCTCATTTTCAAGTTTAGAGGTATACCTGACGAGAAAATGTGCCGTAATTTCCCGAACACTGCCCAGCCGAGTTAAATCCGTCGATTGACCTCTCGGTCGAAGTTGGACTTACCTAGTCGGACTATTTGTCCCAGGTAAACATACTCGTCAACAACTTGGAGCTTAGTGCTCCCAACAACTACCGGCATAGGTGTGATATGGACGTTAAACATGATCTTTGTTTTGTCCATGTTCATCTTAAGACCTAACCGTTGGGAAACACTATTGAGATCATTGAGCAGTCCTTATTTTATGTGTATTGCCCCTTAACGGGGCATCATCAAGTGAAATAGACTGCAATGGCTGACCGCTAATCAGCCTTTTTAAGAAATTATAATTTTTTTTATAGATAAGTGGTTGCTGTGACCAATAAATATCTACATTTATCCTCATTAAAGAATCAAAATGCAGATGCGTCGTCACCCGTGAGGACTAAGATGGAATGCCCATTTTCCTGTAAAATGAGTCTCCGGTTCTCTACACTCACCATACGAAACACAGGAGTGTCAAACTGCCATTTTACTATAATAAAAACGTACCATATAATATATTCAGTACTTAAAATTACAATTAACAATAACTATGCTCCTGGCAGAGATCTAACTCAAGGAGCTCGCGTATTTTATAAAACTTTACATGAGCGGCCAGCTCTTGAGTTGTCATTTCTTCCGTCATAATGAAAATGTAATTATAAATTATCTTTGGTAATGGCAGGCCTCTGTCACTCTTGCTACCTGCGTGAAATAATTACCTACAATCGCGAGCTGCCCCAGGGGTAGATCACAGTCGGGGCTAGCACGCTCTATACGATTGAATGTTAAATTTTTTTTAACGCTGTTTACGTAAATTATTTTTTGTAATTACTTGTTGAAATACTCGTCGTAGTTTTTGTTTAGTGTTTAGTATATTTAATTGTAGGATAAAATAGTTGAAAAAGTTTTAATGTAATTTAAGAAAAATATATATGAATATTACCTATCTATTTGATAAATTATAATGGCAAAACGTCGTTCCTACTATAATTGTTGCGGGGATGGATGCTTAATGAGCAATTAAAAGCATTCAGATATATCATTTTTTGAGTTACCGAATGATAATGAAAGGTAAATTTATTTCATTTTTTGTTAGATAGGTACTTATAACGAAAAAATAATAAAGTAATAATTTAACTACAGAAGTAATACCTAAGTACTTTATTACAAAACTTAGTTGAAATTTACTTCACTACCCACGTACCTACTTACATACCTATACTCGTCTTTGTAATTAAAATATTTTGAGTTATAATAGCTTAAAAATACTGAAATTAAAACTTTGTTTACACGATTTTCAACTAAGTAGATTACAATCATATTTCTGTTAGGAATCATATTTTGGGTTTATTTGTTGTTTACGCTATCTACCTATACGTATCAAGCATCGCAATTCCCGGCGAATGACCTTGCAAGTTGCACGCGTTGGGCATCACAGAACTCACATAGTAGATAATATGGTCGATTATAGTCAGCATAGGTACTTTACCTAAGTAACTTACCATTTCACAATGTATTTTTTTACTCTTTATTAACAGCCCTTAGCAACCACGGAAAGTCCGTTGTGACGTAGTAAGGAGAAAAGATGCAAAGTAATTCGGTCACTCGCGCGCAGCGATAAAGTTTAATTTAGCTTGCGTGCGCGATTTATCTGATTAATAATAACTATGTAGGCAATTAAAACGTCGGCAAGCAGTCAACATCAAACGAGTGCAACTTCTGTACGTAGTACAATTATTTATTCTGTGGTAATGGTCAAAGAGTATAGTATAATCAGTACGTTTAGTAATGGTAACTGTTTCCAGGAACCAATCCTAGAACCAATGTCAGTCCGCTGCGACTTAAAAAGGACGGTGAGCTATCAGCAAATGGTGAGTGCCTACCGGGACCTGCTGCTTTGCGAAGCCGACGTTGTTATGGACACTGTGATGGTGAATCTTGGCCAGAATGACTTGGCGACAGTACTGGCGGTATGGAGCGGAAATCTAAGCGAGATGCATTATATTGGTAAGTTGTTTTCTCTTTCGAGTTTGTTGTGTGTTGTTTGACTTCTCTTCTTTTTCTCTTCTTAAGTATTAACAATAGGCATACATTTTTCTTTCCTTCTCTTCAATCTATTTAAGCCAGCCAGTAGAATAGAATAGACACTATCCATTTTATTCTACTGGGGCTGAGCAAAGAACTTGTGACGATGGGTTTGGAAGAAAAATCGTGAACAAGTGATCACAAACTTTCTATCCTTGACATTTTTGGCAGTAATGTAGTTGACATGTGTAAGTCACACATTACCGTTACAGCCTACTAAAGTAGTAAGTAGTTAAGTTCTTAACTCCAATGCTGAACATAGGCCTCTCCCATAGATTGCCTCATAGGGGAATATTTGCAACCGTAGTTTTTTATTTTTTACCCGCGACGGAACGGAGAAGGTGTATGCGTTTAGGGTGAGAGGTTGTTTGCGTGTGCAAACGAATGTTTCCATTTATCTCCAAAACGGCTTAACCGATTTCAGTACGGTTTTTATAAAGGGTTTGTGACTCATCAGCAATGGTTCTTAGGTAAATGTTATGGTGTTAGCTCGCCAGGGGGCGCTGCAATGAACATTTAGGGTGCAAACGAATGTTGCCATTTATCTCCAAAACGGTTTGACCGATTTCGATACAGTTTCCTGTAAAGGGTTTGTAACTCATCATCAATGGTTCTTAGGTAAATGTTATGGTGTTAACTCGCCAGGGGGCGCTGCAATGAACATTTAGGGTGCAAACGAATGTTGCCATTTATCTCCAGAACGGTTTGGCCGATTTCGATAAGGTTTCCTGTAAAGGGTTTGTGGTTCATTGGCGATAGTTCTTAGATAGGTTTTATGGTGTTCTCTCACCAGGGGGCGCTGCAAAGAACATTTTCTGTGGAAACGATTGTTCCCATTTATCTCGAAAAAAATTTGACTGATTTCGATGCGGTTTTCTGTATAGTGTTTGTGACTCATTGGCGATAGTACTCAGATAGGTGTTATGGTGTTAGCTCGCCAGGGGGCGCTGCAATAAAAAATCTTAATAGTAATTGTAGCGACTTTTTTCCCCGAGACGGTTCCACCGATTTAGATGCGGTTATCGATATCTCTTAACATACTAGCGATCTGCCCCGGCTTCGCACGGGTGATTTCTAGATTTCGTCAACAGCGCCACCTACCGGGTCTATTGGGAATCTAAACGGTCAAATAAATTTAATCACACACACAAAATAATTATATATATAAATAAATAAATAAATAAATATATATATATATATATATATACATACATATATATATATATATATATATAATTATAGATTTATACCTTTTTTTTAAATCATTCCGTCTATTGATAAAAACCTCATCAAAATCTGTTACGTAGTTTAAAAGATCTAAGCGTACAGACGGCGGGAAGCTACATTAAAAGTTTAATTTTTTTTTACGCTCCCGCACTGCCCTTTGTGGGTGGAAGTTTCTGACCTAGTTTTATATACCTATAAGAGCTATAGTTTAAAAATTAGCTTTTTTTACCGCAACTTCATCTTTCTTCTTAGCTGACCTCTACTCGGTGAAAGGAATATCCTAAGTCCTGCCTTTCAAATATCTAGGCCTTACGGTTCCAGGGATATTGTGATGAGTCAATACATAAGCGGAAATCTCTCACATTCCCTACCCTGAAATGAACTAAAATTGTACATTTTTATGAGTTTGTGACTAACTGAAATGACAGCGAGTACGTAAATAAATGTAGTCTTTAATTGATATAAATGGCTGTATTTCTTAGCTTTTCTTCTAAATTGAAATAGGGAACAAAGATGACAATGGCAGCCCCGACGGATTTTTTTTTATTTATAAGTATATTACCTAATAGGTAGGTGAATAGGTACCTATATTTTATATTATTGCTGTGTCTATCGCTACAACAAACTAATAGGTACACAAAGGTAGGCAGGACTAAGGAAAGACATAATTAGTTGTTTGTAATGACAGACCTCGCGGTAAATCAACTCTTTTAAAAACTCTTGTTATTTTTATCTTTCGTGACTTACTTCCTTTTAGTCTGGGGTTTATCAATATGTTTATTTAATCCTTTTTCAATTACAACTTTTACATCCGTCGTGGGTTGTTTCAAAATTTTTAATTTTGCTTTTTATTTCGTTATTAGGAAGACGCTGCTGCCCATCTCCTGATTTGTTTTCTTCTGTCGCCGCTTACGACGCTTACGGAATGATATGGGGTAGTGGGTACACGGGATCTATATATCCCAGACCAACGTGACACAAGCTTTTTATGCTCAGTACGTAATGTAACCCTTTGTTCTCACCACAGGCCATCCACATCCAGGTGGATTTGCGAACGCAAAACCGATACTTTAGTATCGATAATGTCTCTTTCCATCACTACTCTGTGGGATTTGGGGTTCCGCCTTCATTCGAGTGCCAGTTATTGTAACATTGTGTGATTGAATTTGTGGTAAAAACATTCCATGCATGGCTATTATCAATCTTTTTTTATCTTTAAAGCGACTTCAAAAAGGAGGAGGTTCTCAATTCGAGTAGGTATATGTTTTTTTTATACGCGATATCTTTGCAGACTGTGAACCAATTTTGATGATTCTTTTTTTATTAATTAGGTATCATAAGGCTTCAAGGGTGGTCCCAAATAAATTTGAAGAAAAAATTTCACCACTAAGGGTAGCAAATTATTTTTTTAGTAATTTGAAGTCGGTTTTTACTTTTTGTTAAAAGTTATAATTATGACAATCTATATTTTAGCCATTGTTACATTAGGAACTGCAGTTCCTGGATCCCCGGTGGACACGTCATCATCAGACGTTACTGTGAAGAAGCTACAAGCGTTTTTTGCTCAGAACGAACCAATACGGAAAGAAGTTACCGTCAGGTATCGCATAAACTCTGCTGTTATATTAAAATATTGCTATATTTGTAATCAAAAATTATTAAAAAAATACATATTATATATCAATTTGTTCAATCATTTCTACATATAAAAATCAATTGCAGTCTGTTAGTCTCACGAAAATTCGAAAATGGCTGGACAGTTTTTGATCAATTTTTGTGTGTGTGTGTGTGTGTGTGTGTTTTTTTTTATTCATTTATTATTAAAAGTACAAAGTTTGCTTTTTAATATACATATTCCCGCAAAACTGCTTACGCAGTTTATCTGCAGGTACATTTGAGTCTCATTTACATAATAATGTCAAAGCTAAGCACTAAGACTAGCCAATAAGTATTTCTTTAATTTGTTTTTAAATATGTTTTACTGGTTCAGTCAAATATCCTCAGGCAGTGTATTGAGAAAGTACGGTAGACGTTTATTTTGAGTTCTGTCCTCGTAGTAATTATTTACTTTAGTTAGTACAAATTTGCCTGCAGATATCGACCGTGTACCCTGACCATGCTTAACCAGTATTAGAGTACGCCCTCGACAGCTATAATTATTTATGGCAAGTAAATACTTATGTTTTAAACTTACTGGGAGTATTTTGCAGATTTTGAACAATTTTGTGTAATCACCTTTACAAATATCTTTAGTTTTTTTTTTATTAACTAGTAACTTTAAAAATCTAATTTGTAGTGCTTCAAGCTTATCAATGTAGGTTTTCCCTTGGCCCTGGTCCCTTGATAATCTAAACGATTCACAATTGAACCCAGTAGGTAGCGTTGTTGCCGAGATCCAGAAATAACCCTTGCGAAGCTGGGGCGGATGCCTAGTATATTTGATTTTCGAGAAATTTTATTTGATAGAATATTTATCGTGATTTGCTACTTTTTATTTCACTCTTCGCAAAAGTGTCGGTCCATCCATCCATCTTAGTCCATAATCGTCCAATGCTGAATATAGACCTCCCCCATAGATTGCCTCATAGGGGGGGATTTTGGCATAGTTGCCTTGTTTGGCAGGCGGGTTGGCAACCGGAGTTTTTATCTTATTTTTAGTTGTTATTAGGTAGATGCTGCTACGATATGGGGTAGTGAATATTCTTACAGCCTCACTACACGGTTAGCAAAAGTATAGGCTTAAGTAAATGACATCGACATCACCAACATTATCATAATTGTCTTAAAGTATACAGGGTTATTTTGCAAAGAGTAGCCAAATTTTAAACTTAAATTGAAATATATAAATAGTCAAATACCGTTATTACAGTTTTTGAAAATACGAGAAAATAAGACTTCTACTTTTAATTGAAACTATCCCAAATTGAATATGATTTATGGGCAACAACGTATTTGCGTACCGATCGATCCTTACGAATGTGTGCGTGCGCAGTAAAATCAGTTAAAATAATGCATTACCACGCATTTTGAATTTAAAAGATAAAAAGGACAGAATTATTGATTTTTTTTTATTTAATTTTTCTTCACCATTCGTCTATATTACTTATTCTGAATCTTCTCTATAAATTTAGCCCGTTATTGCAAAATAAGCCTGTGTAATAGTCAATTTTGGTTGCACTTTCAAAAACTTTTCTATACCTAGTTACTGATTACTCTAAAATAATTTGTTACAGATTCACTCTTGAAGGTATCGAGCTCAAACTGTTCTCCGACATGGACGAGATCTTGAGTTCTCCAGTTCGGGATCTCAATCACGGTCTAGCAAAGCTAATAGCTGGGGAGGCTACGGTATCGCTGGACTGCTATTCGGACGGCACTACGGAGGTCAAAGCTAGCTTACAAAGTTTGCTAGTGGAAGATATTCGGGCGGATCCAAGCATTGTCATTAGACGGTATATTTACGTATTGTATTGTACTTTTAAAATAATTAAGTTATTAAGAGAAGTTACTACAGGCAGCATCCTTCACGTACTATGATGACTGATTCAAGCTAAAAAAACCGTGACAACATTGAGTTATATGTAGTACGTACTAGAGAAGCCATTCCAAACAAAAAATGTGCACTCCTCTCTGTCTTCGCGCATGCGCGGGAGATAGTAGAGTTACGCATGCGCAGTTGCTTTAAGGGCGTTGCGCCTGCGCGGTCAGTTTTTAATTTAAACTTTAATTTGAAATCTTGTATTATTAACACCGCGCCATACTGCATGTATATTGAAACCACACTAAATAACACACTGTACGGATTGCAGTACAGTTCAGTTGAACATAGTGTATGTTCGGAATGCGAAATCTAGTACGTAGTACATACATATATATATATATATATATATATATATATATATATATATATATATATATATATATCGATGCGTGACAAACTATATTTCCTAGTTATTAAAAATATACCGTGTAGTGGCGGTGTAAGAATATTCACTACCATATATCATACTGTGGGTATAGTAAAAGGCGACAGAGGGAAACAAATGAGAAGATGGTCAGTAGTGTCTTCTTAATAACGATTAAAAATAAAAAACTGCGGTTGCCAACGCACTAACAAAGCGTGATAAATATTGCGAATATCGCCCCTATGAGGCAATCTATGGGGGAGGCCTATGTTTAGTCATCATCATCATCATTACAGCCCTTCACAGGTCCATTGCTGAACATAAGCCTCCCCCAAGGAATGCCACAAAGCAAGGTCCTGAGACACCTGCATCCATCGTCTTTCTGCATGTCTTACCAGGTCGTCACTCCATCTAGTGAGGGACACCCTACACTTCGTCCGCCGGTACGAAGCCGCCACTCGAGAACTATGTTCAGTAGTGGACTTTAATAGGCTGTACGATAAACGTATAAATAATAACGATAACGGTTAAAAACATAAATGAATTAGAAAAGTTTACAAGTATATCGAGTTCAATTATTGAAAATTACCTTATTAACAGAATAATTACTCTAGTTAAAAGTGATCCTTTAAGTAGAACTTACATGATTCAATAATAATTTTTCTGTTTTTTTTTACAGTTTTCACAAATATTATTTCTACCTGTCGTTGTTCTGCCCTTTCCGACGACCCTTCCTATGAAAATATCCCAAAATTCGCAATAAAAAAATTTATGAAGGTCACTTATCGGGATAAAAAGAATCCTATCTCTCAAGTTGGACCAAACTGCACATAGTGTGCAAAATTTCATTGAAATCAGTTCAATAGTTTAGGAGTTCATCGCGGACAAACAATGGGGCACGTAATTTTTATATACAAAGAAGATATATAATAAGGGTGACAAGCGAACACAAAGCTCACCTGATGGATAGTGGACACTGTGACCCATAGACACCTACAATTAAAACTTAATAATCAATGCAGATGCGTTGTTACCCCTGAGGAATAAGATGGAGTGCCTTCTATTCAGTAATAGTGGTCTCCGGTTCTCTACACTCACTACAAGAAACACAGCAGCAAAGCTGCTATTTTACGAAGGTATTCTGTGAGGGCGTTGTCCTATCCCGGTCGAGCCGACCCATTCGTGCTACAACCAATATGGTGCAGCGTTGTGCTACTATGTATATTAAATTGACATGAAATGTGGGTGGTGTCCACCATGCGTTATAATGCCTCTTTTTTATCAGAAACCTTCGCAAGCGCATACATAACTACTCAGCAAGTTTCATCGTAATTCGTTGAACACATACATAAAAGACTAACAAACAAACAAATACATTTTTATTAACTCTTCTCAATAATGATATCAGTTAGTGAAAGTATTGTATTCCTTAGAATTGAGAATATAAACTATGTCAAACAGAAAGTCCAAGAATAGATCCTTAAATAACATTGCATTGAATTATAGTAATTTCTTATTAACGAGATTTGTTTATTTGCATCACAAGGCAACTGTAGCCTTGTTTGTTTGAAGTTGGTTGCAGTTGTCCATGTGTTGCTGTGGTCACTTACCACCTGGACTGTAAGTTCGTTTCTCACTTTGGTTTCATAAAAATAAAATTCATCCAGTGCTTAAAACCCGCGCTTATGGCTTTGTGCTTTGCAGCATATTCCAGTCGCAGGGCGGCGGTTCAAAGGCGGCGGCCGGCATTTCGGTACTGCGGCCGGCGCTCCTGGACGCGAGCGTGCGGTGCTCGGCGCGCGCGGCCACGTGGGACGTGCGCGTCGACCGCACGCGCCTCAACCTCGCGCTGCCCTTCCTGCTGCAGCTGGCGCGCACGCTGCTGGACGCCATGCCAGGTGACCAGTGCTACAACCGCACGCGCCTCAACCTCGCGCTGCCCTTCCTGCTGCAGCTGGCGCGCACGCTGCTGGACGCCATGCCAGGTGACCAGTGCTACAACCGCACGCGCCTCAACCTCGCGCTGCCCTTCCTGCTGCAGCTGGCGCGCACGCTGCTGGACGCCATGCCAGGTGACCAGTGCTACGACCGCACGCGCCTCAACCTCGCGCTGCCCTTCCTGCTGCAGCTGGCGCGCACGCTGCTGGACGCCATGCCAGGTGACCAGTGCTACAACCGCACGCGCCTCAACCTCGCGCTGCCCTTCCTGCTGCAGCTGGCGCGCACGCTGCTGGACGCCATGCCAGGTGACCAGTGCTACAACCGCACGCGCCTCAACCTCGCGCTGCCCTTCCTGCTGCAGCTGGCGCGCACGCTGCTGGACGCCATGCCAGGTGACCAGTGCTACAACCGCACGCGCCTCAACCTCGCGCTGCCCTTCCTGCTGCAGCTGGCGCGCACGCTGCTGGACGCCATGCCAGGTGACCAGTGCTACAACCGCACGCGCCTTAACCTCGCGCTGCCCTTCCTGCTGCAGCTGGCGCGCACGCTGCTGGACGCCATGCCAGGTGACCAGTGCTACAACCGCACGCGCCTCAACCTCGCGCTGCCCTTCCTGCTGCAGCTGGCGCGCACGCTGCTGGACGCCATGCCAGGTGACCAGTGCTACAACCGCACGCGCCTCAACCTCGCGCTGCCCTTCCTGCTGCAGCTGGCGCGCACGCTGCTGGACGCCATGCCAGGTGACCAGTGCTACAACCGCACGCGCCTTAACCTCGCGCTGCCCTTCCTGCTGCAGCTGGCGCGCACGCTGCTGGACGCCATGCCAGGTGACCAGTGCTACAACCGCACGCGCCTCAACCTCGCGCTGCCCTTCCTGCTGCAGCTGGCGCGCACGCTGCTGGACGCCATGCCAGGTGACCAGTGCTACAACCGCACGCGCCTCAACCTCGCGCTGCCCTTCCTGCTGCAGCTGGCGCGCACGCTGCTGGACGCCATGCCAGGTGACCAGTGCTACAACCGCACGCGCCTCAACCTCGCGCTGCCCTTCCTGCTGCAGCTGGCGCGCACGCTGCTGGACGCCATGCCAGGTGACCAGTGCTACAACCGCACGCGCCTCAACCTCGCGCTGCCCTTCCTGCTGCAGCTGGCGCGCACGCTGCTGGACGCCATGCCAGGTGACCAGTGCTACAACCGCACGCGCCTCAACCTCGCGCTGCCCTTCCTGCTGCAGCTGGCGCGCACGCTGCTGGACGCCATGCCAGGTGACCAGTGCTACAACCGCACGCGCCTTAACCTCGCGCTGCCCTTCCTGCTGCAGCTGGCGCGCACGCTGCTGGACGCCATGCCAGGTGACCAGTGCTACAACCGCACGCGCCTCAACCTCGCGCTGCCCTTCCTGCTGCAGCTGGCGCGCACGCTGCTGGACGCCATGCCAGGTGACCAGTGCTACAACCGCACGCGCCTCAACCTCGCGCTGCCCTTCCTGCTGCAGCTGGCGCGCACGCTGCTGGACGCCATGCCAGGTGACCAGTGCTACAACCGCACGCGCCTCAACCTCGCGCTGCCCTTCCTGCTGCAGCTGGCGCGCACGCTGCTGGACGCCATGCCAGGTGACCAGTGCTACAACCGCACGCGCCTCAACCTCGCGCTGCCCTTCCTGCTGCAGCTGGCGCGCACGCTGCTGGACGCCATGCCAGGTGACCAGTGCTACGACCGCACGCGCCTCAACCTCGCGCTGCCCTTCCTGCTGCAGCTGGCACGCACGCTGCTGGACGCCATGCCAGGTGACCAGTGCTACAACCGCACGCGCCTCAACCTCGCGCTGCCCTTCCTGCTGCAGCTGGCGCGCACGCTGCTGGACGCCATGCCAGGTGACCAGTGCTACAACCGCACGCGCCTCAACCTCGTGCTGCCCTTCCTGCTGCAGCTGGCGCGCACGCTGCTGGACGCCATGCCAGGTGACCAGTGCTACGACCGCACGCGCCTCAACCTCGCGCTGCCCTTCCTGCTGCAGCTGGCGCGCACGCTGCTGGACGCCATGCCAGGTGACCAGTGCTACGACCGCACGCGCCTCAACCTCGCGCTGCCCTTCCTGCTGCAGCTGGCGCGCACGCTGCTGGACGCCATGCCAGGTGACCAGTGCTACGACCGCACGCGCCTCAACCTCGCGCTGCCCTTCCTGCTGCAGCTGGCGCGCACGCTGCTGGACGCCATGCCAGGTGACCAGTGCTACAACCGCACGCGCCTCAACCTCGCGCTGCCCTTCCTGCTGCAGCTGGCGCGCACGCTGCTGGACGCCATGCCAGGTGACCAGTGCTACGACCGCACGCGCCTCAACCTCGCGCTGCCCTTCCTGCTGCAGCTGGCGCGCACGCTGCTGGACGCCATGCCAGGTGACCAGTGCTACGACCGCACGCGCCTCAACCTCGCGCTGCCCTTCCTGCTGCAGCTGGCGCGCACGCTGCTGGACGCCATGCCAGGTGACCAGTGCTACAACCGCACGCGCCTCAACCTCGCGCTGCCCTTCCTGCTGCAGCTGGCGCGCACGCTGCTGGACGCCATGCCAGGTGACCAGTGCTACGACCGCACGCGCCTCAACCTCGCGCTGCCCTTCCTGCTGCAGCTGGCGCGCACGCAGCTGGACGCCATGCCAGGTGACCAGTGCTACGACCGCACGAATTAAGTTAACAACAACGACTTTACTAAAAAATATAATTTATTTATATAAAGTAACAGCGTTACAACTTATAATTACTTCCAAAACCAATATCAATCTAACATTCAATTATTCTAGTATTTATATAAATTTTCATCTTACTAAGCGATCCGTACGGTGACGCACGGCCTACTTATTAGGAGTGCTTGTAAAGCAGATATTAGAGGGGTCATCACTCTTAACCTCTCCCTCCCCAAGAGAAAAATTATTCGAAGGAAACGGAGTTGACTTCGGATAATTTTGTCTCTGACGTAAACTATTAAATTTCCATTTAAATACAATAAAAATTATAATTAACAGTATTACAACATAAAGACTTAAAGTCCATATACTTATTTTACTAGTCACTAAAGTTTCTACCACCATTTCACTATTTCTAGCACTATTCATGATTTCTTTAACGTCACTAAAGTCCACGTTTGTTAAATCCAAACTCTTTTTTTCTATCGGCATGTCGTACTGCACCTCCGGAATCTTCACAAGTGGTATCTGCAGACTGGCATCTGACATATTACTCGATAGGCCAATTATTATTTTTCCTATCTGTATGCTGCAACCTTTGCTCGGCGTCAAGATGTATGTCCCCTGTAGATTAATTCTGTGGGTATCATCTTTGCACTGCTCCGTCAGTATAACATTGTCTTCTGCGTATAGTATCCAGTGGTCAAAAGTTATTTTCTGTATTTTCAGCTTTTCTATTTTTATTTCATGTTGCTGGCAATGACTGAAGTTGTTTTTAATCAGCATTATTTCCTCAATGCATGTTTCTTCCTCAACTGGTGCTATATTTTCCTCCGAACATAAGTGTTTGTTCGACTCTATCTGGGTACAAGGATTTACTACGTTTCTGTATTTCAAACCATTCACTAATAGGTAGGGATATTTAGGAATTATAGTATAGGTGCTGGTTAATTTTTTTATAGGAATGGGAATTATCTTGTAATAGTTATACGTTTCTTTTTCTATTAATGGTATTTCTAAAATAAAAACTAGTTTATCTTTATCTATATAACATTTTAGGATAATGTTACGTTCTAATTTTAATAAGTTATTTCTTGTTACTGGGTAAATAGTTTGTGCATTTTGTTCTATAGTTTTAAAAATGTTTAGTAATTCTGTAGAATTAATGATAGATTGATGTAGGGTGCGTAATTTACTGAATGCTATGGCTGTTTCAATTTCCTGGATATTTTCATAAATGTAACGAAAGTTATTAAGAATTTGATAAAGGCTATTCATTGTACGAATGACATTGTCAGTTTTTGACTCTAGTTTGTCAACTTGTTTAAACTTAAAGTGCAAGTTTTCAACGTTACTATTGATAACCTCAGATACATTGGTTAACGCATTAAACGCTTTTTGCATTGACGATACTTTACGTTCTGCTAAGTTTTCTTTAACTCTCAAATTTGCGATTTCTTCGTTGAATTTGATGGCATCTTCTTCATCTAAATTACCAGATATAATTTTTATTATGGACCCCAAAGGACTCATAATGGCTCTTTTTCTTTTATGGATAGGACTTATTTGATCGTATTTGTCCTGAACTAATTTAACTAACCAGTCTATTTGTTTTTGTATAACTAATAGTTCTTTTTCTAGGCTATTTTCTGTTATAATTGTATTAATTTTGTTGTATATATTTATATTATTATTTATTTGTATTCCTAATGCGCTTATCTCTACTGTTTTGTAAACTGTCCAATAACTACTCCTCATCACTGCTGTTCCATATTTCAGCAGGGTTATTCCCGGGTTCCGCTCCAGATTTTGAAGTTCCAGGCTGTGGATCTGGTTCACAAGTGCCAGAAGTACCAGCCACGACCTGTGGAGGACGTTTTATATTTTTAGCAGCTACTCTAGTTTTTCTTTTATTTAACTCTACTGGAACAATGTTACGATTTGTTTCACCTATTACTTTTGCTTTTTCATAACGTGGTAATTCCTTAGCTTTCCTTGTCCGAGTTGTTTTCATAAATACTGTATCACCTTCTTTGATTTTTGGTATTTCTTCACCTCCTTTCTTGTCCCTAACTTTGGCTTTATTATCTTTTAGTTTTTCCCCAACATATTCGTAGAGTACTTTTAGGCGTTTTCTGTGATCTTGCAATAGCTTTTGCATTAGGTTGTGTTCCCTATTAATATCAAAAATATTACCGCTGTCAGTATTACCGAAAACTATTTCAAAAGGCGTGAATTCCGTTGCTGAATGGATACTATTATTGTATGCCATTATAGCGTATGTCATTACTGAACATGCATCAAGATCACTTTTATCATACTTTGCCAACCTATATATTTCGATTACTGTGGAGTGGAATCTTTCCACTATGGCCATCGAGCTAGGATTATTTGGTGTGCTAATATGAAGTTCTATTTTGTACAGGTTTAAAAGTTCTTTAATTAATTCATTATTAAATTCAGCTCCGGAATCGCTGTTTATTTTGCGTGGAATTCCGTACATACTGAAATATTTTATTAATGCTCTGACTACTTCTGGTGTACTTCTATTGGGAATGTTTATAGCCTGTCCAAGCTTACTGAAAGCATCAACCACAGTAAGGTAATACTGTTTTTCTATAAATAAAAGATCCATGAAGACTTCTTGGAATGGGCTGTATTGATTTTGTGTTAGTTGGATAAGAGGTTTTATGGGTTTTCTTTCGTATTTCATTTTTCGACACGGCTCGCATGAATTAATAATGGCTGTTATAGTTTCTTTCATGTTTGCCCACCAGTAGTGTCTTTTGATTTTTGCTAAGGTCTCGTTGATACCTCTATGACACGTTTTTCCTTCGTGGTACGCTACAACTACTCGTCTTTGGTCTTGTTCTGAATCGGTTAGATTAACTATTCTGTCTGTACATTCGATTAAATTATAAGTTCCCTTTTTGTATAATTCGATTACTACTCTACTAAAAGATTTCCTGAATTCCGCGTTTTCGAAATAGATATAATATTTATGTTTAAAATCAATATATTCTTTAAGAAACTGTTTGACAAGTCTCTCATTATTTAGAGGCATGTGAACTTCTAGTATACGTTGCTTCTTATTTGAAATATCTTTAACAGATATTTTATCAGTAAACCATGTGGAGACTAAAATTTGACGTGGTTTTGTGTCTATAGCTTCATTCAGGATAGGAATCCCTTCATGTTCCCTGTTTGATATTGAGTTAGCTGTGACACCATCGTCTGATAATTCCATCAGTTCCATTGGTGGCTCAACTTCGATATCAGAAACAACTATGGATCTTTCACTTTCTGTGTCGTAATTTGATATAACTGATGGTGTTTTAGGTTTCTTTTTTCTAATTGTTACAAATTCGTCGTTTAATTCTTTGAGTATTTGTTTTATACGTTCATCTTCATCGTCTATATTAGCTAAAGTTGAGTCGAGATCGTTATCTAATGCGTTTAATCTTATTCTTGACAGGGCATCTGCGTTTGTGTTTTGCTGTCCTTTTTTATATTTAATTTCAAAATCGTATTCTTCCAATCTAAGTCGCCAACGGGTTAACTTACTGTTGGGTTCTTTAAGAGAGTATAGCCAGGCTAGAGGCCTGTGGTCCGTATAAATAGTAAATTTTTTTCCGTATAAATAGGGTCTGAAATGTTTTACCGCCCAAACTACCGCTAAAAGCTCTTTTTCTATAGTACTATATCTAGTTTCTGTGTCACTTAATGTCCTACTTGCGTAAGCTATTGGTTTATCGTTTCCAATAGTGCCCTGTGATAGAACCGCTCCAATAGCAAAATTGGATGCATCGGTTGTTAATATAAAAGGTTTTTCAAAATCTGGGAATTGTAATAATGGAGCATTTGTTAAAAGTTTTTTACAGGTTTCAAAACTTTCCTTATATTCTTCGTTCAAAATTATCTTATTACCCTTTTTTAAACAAGCTGTAAGAGGTCTTGTTATTTTCGCAAAGTCTTTGATGAATTTGCGATAGTAACCGACTAATCCTAAAAAACTTTTGATTTCTGTCACTGTTTTTGGAAGAGGGTACTTAAGTACAGCATCTATTTTATCTGTATTGGGCTTGAGGCCCTCATTAGTTATTGTATGACCTAAGTACAACACCTCTTTTCTTAAAAAATGTGACTTATCCAGCTGTACTTTGAGGTTTGTTCTTCTAAATCTTTCAAAAACGGCTTTAAGTTTTTCTATGTGTTCAGGTAAGCTTTTTGAGAAAATAATGACATCGTCCAAATAAACTAAACAATGTATTCCTTGTAGTCCTCTCAGCACGTTGTCCATTGCTCTTTGAAACGTAGCAGGAGCTGTCTTCATTCCAAAAGGCATTCTATTAAACTCATAGTGACCGAAAGGTGTACTAAATGCGGTCTTTGATCTATCTTCTTCTCTGACTTCTATCTGGTGATAGCCTGATGCTAAGTCCAGTGTTGTAAAACATGTACTTTTACCTAACATGTCGAATAGATCGTTAATGTTGGGCAAAGGATATTTATCATCAGTCGTAATGTCGTTTATTCTTCGATAATCTATGACCATTCTCCATTTTTTGATACCCGATGCGTCTAATTTTTTTGGTACTAGATGAACCGGTGCACTCCAAGGAGAGTGAGATTCCTGAATAATGTTATCTTTTAACATTTTTTCTACCTGTCTTTTTATTTCTTCCGTTTGGACTGGTGGTAGACGGTGAGCTTTAATATTGATTGGATCCTCGTTTTTAGTCCTTATCTCGTGTTTTACTTCATTAGTAAATGTTAAGGGTAAATGTTCGCAGTAGAAGATATCTTTATATTCTCTACATAATTTTTCTATCATATTTTTCTCCTCTTCATTCATATGATCTAACCTCAACTTTTTTAAATTTTCATGAAGTAGTTCGTTTACATCTCGGTGATTTGCAAAATTTAAATTTGTTTCATTGTTTTTCTTTAATAATGTTGCTATTTCAAATGGTTCCACTTTAAAAGGTGACGTAACTACCAGTTTT